ACCAGCCGTGCCATGGTAGCAGCGGTGGCTTTTTTTTTCGTCTTGGACAGTTTTGCCCTCAAATCGCCATGCGCACAACTTGTCGCGAATGGAAATTAGCAGGGGGGGGGGGGGTGGGGGGGAACAAACAAAACATAATCACCGATCACCCTTCATCATTGTCATCAGCACCAGTGGCCATGATCAATCCACTGCTGCATGAAAGCCTGCCACCCCCCTTCCGAGCTGCCCACCATCCTCTCACGATCCTACGGTGATGCAATAAAAGGGTCCCAGCCCCATCTCCGCACGCGCGCGGATTTCAAATCGCTCCATCTCCACGGTGGACGTCCGTCTCGGGAGCTTATTCCCTCCTCCCTTGGCGGCGCCACTCCGTCGTTAATCCCGACCGCCGGCCATCGTCCGGTCTCGACCGCTGGCCGTGAAGTGACCCTGCCCTGAGCCCCACTCCTCTCACCAGTGAAGGAGAGGGCGGGGGGTGGGGGGGGGGGAGTATAAAAAAAGAATGCAAGCCGACTGGGAAGCAATTCACCGTTTGCATCTCGACGTTCACGTGCCAGAGATTCGTGCGATATTCTTCGCGAGTCGCAGCGTCGGCCGCGCACTCCCCCGGCCCCTTCCTGCCGACTCCTTCAATTAACGGCAGCGGCCTCACCCCCTCCCCACGGCAGCGCAGCCAGACTCGATTATCGCGCGCTCGCGGGGACGCGGCTTTGATGTTGACGCTTCGTTTAGAGCGGGGATTTATTTCGCACCGAATATTTGTAAAGATCGGGCCCGCTGGTAGACCGCGGTATGCAGGCGGCGCGTCGTCACGATTAGCAACCGCGGACGTTGTAGCGAGAGCTGTCTTGGACGTGCCGTGCCGGGTGCAGAAATATTTTGTGGGCAGCCGAGCCGGCTCGAGAGCCCGGTGCAAAGCGAGCAGCTGGGGCGAGTAGCTCGTTGCGTTTGTATTTGGACAGACGCAGCTGAGATTAAGCCCCGTTTAACACGTAGGCTTTTGCGACCAATATTATTCATAATAAAGGTTTTTGGGTTAGATCGCGTTATTTATAAATGTGTTGTAAACCTCCACCGCCAGAATTCTAAAGAATTGCCGGATGATGTTGGATGTAATTACCAGCGAAACGTCGTACTATTCAAAAACTGTAAATGCTGTGGATTCACTCTTCAACACACCGGTGGGCTAAAGTAGTGCTCTATTTGTCTTTAGTCAACGTGACACATTTTTTACTGTTTGGCCATGTCGGGTGGTGGAGGGTTACGACACATTTATAAATAACGCGATCTAACCCAAAAACCTTTATTATGAATTAAGCCCCGTGTACATGTTACGAGTCATGGGTCTCTATGCAAGTCTATTAGCCTCTGTGTATTTCTATGGGTCTCTGTGCGAGTCTTTGGAACTTTATGCGAGTATGGTATATGTCTCTATATAGATCGAGTGCAAAGTTTCTCACTAAATATTTTAATCAGGTCACGTGGCTAATAGTAGGCCCAGCCATTACAGCAAAAGGCATACTTGAAGTGGTGTGCTGTGTAAGATAATGTGTTCACCGATCCGGACAGATCTGGCTGATAGAGCCCTGGGGATGAAGATTCTTCCACTGACGATGAAGTGTAATGTGTGAGATTTCTTGAGAGAATTTACATTTACAGCCTCCTTTGTCACTAGACCGCTGGATGAGGGCCTCCCAATGCTGAGATAGTCATGGATACTTGTCTGACCATGCCTCGCCATGCTGGGTCAGTGTGGGTTCATCATGGTGAGGGAGAGAGAGGGGTGGGGTGGACCCAGGACAGGTTCATATATTGCTCTCCACTGCTATCAGCTGTGGCCGGGAAATGTATGTGTGTTGAACTAATTTCGCGCCGTACGTAGCCAACTTTGCTAATCGGAGGTACAGAGCAGGGACAACAAACTGAACACAAACATATATTCTAAAGAAAGTATCTTCAAATCTAGATGATGATTTAAAAGTGCGTAGCTCCAGTGGCTTCCTGATATCGGAAGGAAGAGCGTTCCAGACGGTCACAGAAGCGCATCCGAAAGCGCGCGATGCGGTGACCGTCTTAAATGAACGCAGGTTGACGGGTTCGTAGCGCAGTGCGCTAACCACTGCACCACCGCTCCCGGGTGAACTTATTACACGGAGTAATGGGTTAATAAAAATTATAACGTGGCCCTTTCTTTTTTTGTGTTCCCCGCCACTGAGAGGAAGGAAATATCGACACGCCGGTCCAAACAGCCTCCTTCACATCGATTCTGTCGAACCGACATCCCGCAGCGTTCAAGCGTTGCGACAATCCACAGAGATGAGAGGTCTCATTTTTCAAGGAGGCCCTGGGCTACAGAGACAGCCAAAGGTGACGAAGTCCGACGTTGAGCGAGAGAAATCGCGCGACACCACCGAGGTTACATCTCAAAAAGGAAGAGGAAATCTCTCAGCTCAAACCTACAGAGGAGGTGATAATTGGGCGTTGCTCATCTCCTGCCCGGGTCCAGTGGTGCAAGTTCCACGTTCCTATGGCAGGGAGCGATAGTCGCTCTCGATAAGGACAACCACTGTTGACTTCCCGACAAATTAGTATGTATTTTATCGACCCCCACAGGGATGGTGGGCCGAGCCGATCCCGGAATCGGGATTTGAACGACTCGCAACCTTCCAAAAGGTTAACTAAATTAATGGCAACAAGGCTGACGAGAAAATCATAGTGTTGTGTCACCCAGTGGTAATAAAACAACACAGCAATAAATAAGATCAATTCAGGATATACAAAGTGATCCATTTATAGATACCCAATGAAAGTGTACATAAATTATGGGGGGAACTACATTATACATTTTCAAAACCTCTATGCGTCTCCCATTAAACCCATAAACGCTTACCACGTCCTCTTACTCCATCCCTATCCACGCTGGCTGACACAGCCGTCACATTATTTAATCACCTGCTGCAGAAGGGTCAATACAAGTCAGCGGAGTATCTATAAATGGATCACCTCCGTGTTACACCAAGTAATTCATTTTGCCGACGAGGGAAGAGTGAAGTCGCCGAGTCGGCCTTTCCATTGCAGCTCTGGCGCCGTGGAAATGAGGGCCATGTCCAAACCGTTCCATCACCGACCCCAACCCTAACACCATCCTTTAAGTTGACCAAATCCCTATCCCCCAACGCTAAATCTTAAACCGATACAGAGGCCAGACCCCATCTTTGACTGGATCCATAACCCGATCCCTCACTACAAATATATTGCCGACTCCTAACCTTATGCCTAACCTCTTCCCTAACCGTTAACCCTAAATCTTAACCCCATTCCTTCCCAAACCCCATCTCTAATCCTAACCCGAACCCAATGGAAGTGATTCTCTGCCCCAATGACCCCGAGCCAATGCAGGAAATTCCACAATACCGTGGCAGGAGTGAGCCTGCCAATCGGATACCCGCCGTTGAACACGTAAAAAAGCGGTACAACGTTTTATCGGCCCCAGGAGGGATGATGGGCCGAGTGGTGGATGCCTGCGATCACGATTTTAACTCGTCGACCTTTCCATCGCGAGCCGTGGGAGCCACGAGCTCAGGTGTGGGCCCAGGTGTGGGTGCTGACGGGCGCGATGCGTAGCGCGTGAGTGTGTGGTGCGCAGGTGCGTGTGTGTGTGCGGCCACGGAGAGTCATCGTCTCTCTGCGGTTCCCTCCCCCATGCACGGGGGAGTGGGTGGGGGGGAGAGGCGACGCGGTGACGTTTCTCGCGATCTGTTGCTGCATGCGCGCAGCATTCAATTCAATTTCAGAGGAAATTGGAAAAACGTCGAGTTTATCGCATGCGCACACACACACGCACACGCGCACACGCACACGCGGATACACGGACCGTCCTCCAGTCGCTATTACTGAACGTTTCCAACGCACAGCCCCATCCCATTGTGCAAAATGTGTACGCACGCGCGCACAAAGACAAAGGAACTGCGTAGGCTGTGCAGGCAAGTGCTTTTAGCGAGCACCTTTGAAGGCCAGCAAGGTGCACGAGATGACGGTGTGGCCATGAGCCACGACCTTTGACTCCCCAAATGCCAACGTTTTCACACACCGCACCAGGAACTCGTTTAAGGCCGAGTCATCCTAGGAGTAGCCCGGGATTTGTTCAAATAGCCCGCCGCGACGCTCGGTGGCGGCCACTCGCGGGGTCTGACTCCCTGCTCGGTACTTGGAGCGCCGAAGCTCCGACGCTCGCATGCCGTACCCAGCCGCTCGCCCCCTGCGCTGGCCGTCACGGAGCTCCGTTGGCCATCGAGGTAGACGCCCCTTGCCCGCCCCCCCTTCCTCCCCCCCCCCCCCCCCGAGGGCTTTGTGCGAGTTAAAAAACGCGCCTCTGGGGCCCCCAGCACAGCGACGCGTGATGCGTCAGTGACCCGCGAACCCCGGCACACGGCGACGTGGAAGCAATCTCGAAGGGGAGGATACATTTCAACCTCGTAACGCCGAGCGATTTCAATTCTTATTCGTAATCATCATCATCATCAGCCGTGGACAATCCACTGCTGGACGAAGGCCTCCACACCGAGCCGCCGCCCCTCAAGTTCCTGCGGTGTAACAATCCACGTGGCACCGGCTCACACGCGCCGCTTTCATCGCTCCATCTCGCCGGCGGACGTTCCCTCTCGGACGCCGCGTGCGTTCTGACCGTCGGACATCGCCCCCCCCCCCTCGAGCTACGTGTCCCATCCACCAGCGGGGCCCACGTGATATGTCAAACTCTCCATGCCATCCCAATTGTGCGTCAACAGACGAATCCAGATTGCCAGCGAGCGAAACGGGGGTGGTGTTGGGGTGGGGCGTTGTGGTGGCGGGCGGGGGGGGGGCAGCAGAGGGAGGCAAGGGTGGAGGCGGGACGCGAGCCGTCCGTCCCCGCTTCGTTCCGAGTTCCACATCGCGCTCGGTGCACGTGGCACCCGGTAATTGGTGGCTTCGCGCCAACTGAACCGTTCCCGTTTCAGCGCGGTGGCCGCACGGAGGAGGTGGCGGCGGCAGCGACGCGTTCGGGCGCGGACGGACGTGCGGCTGTGATGTCCTCCGACCCCGACGCCTGACCTCACCATGACGAGGGGCCTGGCCAGCGCCGTCACCGTGGCAACGGCCCTGCTTTGCGCTTTGATCGTCGGAGGTGAGGGCCGCGCGGTTCAGCCGCGGCGGGGAGACGCGCGGATGGCGCGTGGGGAGGGGGGGGGGGCGTTTGGTGGGAAGGGCTGGGGAAGGGACGGGTGGTGACCGTACACCGAGCACGTGCCCTTCATGACCCCACACAAGCGCCGCGGCAACCAAATCGCGGTTCGCTCGCGAGGAGCCCCCACTGCGTTGGGGGCGTTGTTGCCGTCGTGCTGCTGTGTCGAGGTCTGACGTTTCGACATATGTGCCGGGAGCCTCTGTCAGATGAGAAGAGAGAGAAAAAACTAAAAGTCGGCCAATACGACACATGGACCCAACCGCAAATACCGGACATGCGGAATTTCAGGCGCGTGACATTAACGAGGTCCCCCCCATGGCCAACCCCCGCCTCGGTAACGCGCGCAGGGCTGGGCGCGTACCACCGCGTGTGCGAGCCGTACACGGACCACGTGGACAAGTACCACCCGGGCTTCCACTGCCCGCGCCTCTCGGACGACAAGGCGCGCCTCTACTGCTGCCGGCGCAGCAACGCCACGCTCAAGTACTGCTGCAACGAGAGCGAGTTCCAGCACGTCATGGCCATCAACCTCACCGCCGACGCCGTGGCCTACGGGCACAAGTGAGTCGGGGCCCACCGTCGGGGGGACCCTTCCGTATGTACGTTGAACTTCTTTGGCACCGTACGTAGCCGATCGTGCTCGAGGGAGGTGTGCACGGGGAGGAAAAGTGTAAGCTGCCCACGTGGATTTCATCAATCACTCCGTTGAGAATTTGCGCGGTTTTTGTTTTATTCCTGGAGCAAGCGCCGTTGATTTGTGTACGGAACGTTTGGAATATCGATTGCATCGGCGGGGCTTAAATTTATCACTGTAAATCTTCTGGGGGCAGGGGGGGGTCGCTCGTAGACTGGAGTAGGCCCAGAGGCGGCGTAGAGAAGGAACTGGGGGTATGGTGGACGTGGTATGGAAATAAGTGACCCGGTTGAAATTACAGCACGCCCTGGACGTGTACAAAATAAATGCGACGAGGTGACACCTGCTGCAGCTGGCATCTCAAGTGTCTGTGTGTTGTGTTTGCGCTTAATAGTAACAGGGCCTATTCGGTTCAAATTGACAACTTGGATTCTTTCGCGCTGTCCAACGTTTGCCAGTTAACTTTCGGAGCCATCCCCTTTCCACGTGACGCGCGACGTCGTGAAATGACATCACTACACGTGATATCGTCACACGCGTGATGTCATATCACGACGTCGCAAGTGCGTGGTATAACATCACCACGTTGGCCACGTTGGCTGAAAGGCCTCATCAATTACCGTTGGTATTGTACCGCCAGGTCTTTGGGCATAGCCCTGTGATCGATGTGGCCGGTTACCTACAGGGCAACAACACAATTCCACGCGAACACTTCACTTGGATTAGATCCTCCCTGCGAGATTTATCATGAACCCCGCCCCCCACCTCTACAAACGAACAGAGTCGGCCCAGAACTAACGCACGGGACGATCTCGCCCCCGCCTCTCCTCCCCACCGTCTCCTCCCCTCCTCCGCCACAGCAACTACGGCGGCCTCATCGGCGTGTGGATCTACGGCCTGCTGATGATCACTCTCGTGGCCGTCGACCTGCTCTTCTACTGCACCACCAACTACGAGCTGTGCCGCGTCTACCTGGCGCGCTGCGGCCTGCAGTGCCTCTGGGGGCCCGGCTGCCCCGGCTCGGCGCAGGCCAACGCGGCCGCTGCGGGCTCGCCGGCGCTCGGCCCCGCGGGGCCCGGCAAGGGCGGGGTGACGCCGTCCGGGGCGCCGTCGGTCTCGGCGTCGGTCTCGGCGTCGTACTCGGCGGTGCCGGTGGCGGCGCCCCCGATGCCGGCGCCGTCGGTGGTGCCGCTGCCCGTACCCACGACGGCCACGGCGCTGCTTTTGACGCAGCCGCGCTCCGCGGTGACGACGGCGCCGGGCTGCTCGGCGCAGGACGCGGCGGCGTCGCAGGCGTGGTGAGTGCCGGTTCGGCGACGGAGCACGGCACCTACGGCTAACGCCGGCACCGATTCTAAGCATATCGCTGTGTTGAACTTCTTTGGCACCGTACATAGCCAACCGCGCTAATCGGAGGTGCGGGGGAAGACAAACTAAACACAACAATCGGTTATAAAAAAGTGAATTTGTCGATATAGATTCTAGATGATGATTTGAAAGTGCGTAGCTTCAGTGGCTTCCTAATATCGGAAGGAAGAGTGTTCCAGATGGCCACAGAAGCGCATTTAAAAGCGCACAATGCGGTAATCGTGTTTGTAACACACTCACCCCGGTTCTAACCCCAATCCTAACACTGACCCAAGCCCTAATGTTGACGATAATCGTGTCCCCAAACCCATCGCAACCCCGCACCCGGGTGCTCGATTCTGTACCAACTGAAGCCCCTGTGAACGACGATATCCATCGTTGGTGCAGCGCTGTGGTCACAAAGTCGACTGCTACGGTCTCAGGCGACGGTCCAACGACGACGTTGTTAACGCAAGAGGCGGAGGAATAACGGGCACGGTTTTGTATGAAGATGCTGAGTCGCAAAGACGAGAAACACCGCGTTGACCACACAACCCCCTCTCCACGCGCTCGATCCTCCACTCGCTCCACCCTCCACGATTCACCACGCACATTCAGGGTCGGGGGCTGAGCAAATTATGTATTTTTTGGGCCCCCACTTTTCAATTGACCGGCCGGTGGCTCCAGCGGTAGAGCAAGCGGTTGACTCAGCCCATCATCCCTTCCTTGGGGGGAGGGTCAATAAAGTGGGGAAGTCAACCATGCTTGGTATAGTGAGACTCGCTCGCACTAAATTCGGAAATGCCGAAGTTTCCCGCCACTGGCTCACGGCTCTAGACAGGAGTTGAGCACCAACGGCGGAATGCTCATTCGAGTCAGAAATCACTCCGGCTTCATGTTACTTTTAACTTTCAATATTTGAACTGGTGAGGTGACTGAAGAGATACAAACAAGAGACAGAGATGTAGCAACTTGTTAGAAATACACGAGGCTCTGACATTTAGCTGACTTTTGGCACGCTCACATCGATATATAGTTTTTTCTGAATCTGCGGGCCGCCTTTTAGGTACTGGAAGCCCCCGGCGTGTGAGCGAGCGAGCGGAAGAGACGCGACGCGATCCAACAGCCGCCTCCAAAATAATCCACCTGACCCGAACGAAAACACTCTTAGCAGGCAAGACAAATCCATTATTCACGTCTGTTTGCGTCATCGTTGTCAGAGGCGGGAGGAAAACAAAACGCGGATTTGTTAAAAGTCCCTCGCCTCCGCGTGGGATCTTAAACGTCACGGAAAACAGGTGAAAGGTGAAGGTGCAGCTCCGCAAGTTCCCCGCAGGAGGGAGCTCTAGAGAGAGCCCCTCTGCAAGGGTATGTGGCCTACTCTTCCACGGTGGTCAGACGTGTTGGGAGAGGTGGGAGTGCCCGCACTTCACCTCACCAGTGCGCAGCCTCACGAAGGACTCCCTGCGGTGGACCCATTCACACTGCTGGTTGGACCGAGGCGGTGCAGCACGGGGATTTAGGAAGCTTGCCCCCATTGTTTCAACTGCCGCGCTGGGAGATCGAACCGGGGACCGCTGGATTCCAGCTCAGTCCTGCAGAGGGCGAGGAGTGTGGGGAGGGCAATGTGCACATCACACCTTGCCGATGGTCAGTCGCTAAGAGGATGGCATCACGAGCATCAGAGATGTGGCATCAATTTGCACTTAGGTTAACATTAGTTTGTTTTGTATTATCATAAAATCAATGGCCCATCTTCAAAGCAGATGTATACACTAAGGCCACAATGTTATTGACGAACGAGTGCAGGGGTTTCAGTTTTCTGTTTCATTTATTAGGTATATAACCATGCGAGCCATGCGGCTCTTAACTCAGGTGCAACCGCAACAAAACAAAAACATGAACAAGAAACATCGTAAAGTGACTGCACGCAACAGAAAAATACAGGAAAAAAACAGCAAAGTCTTCCAGAAAAAAAAGCACCGTACACCAACGCTGTGCAAAAATCCCAGTGGGATGCAAGTCAAACAATAACAACCATCAGACAATTTAGATTAAAGTTATCAAGCCAACTCTGCACTACAACAAACAAACATTGCTAAACCAAAACGTTTTCAAAATCACCAAAATAAAGCGATAAAAACCATATAGCAGTGATCATAGGAACTGTGATTCAAATTTAACAATAAACGATATACATACGATGTACGATATACATAACATGTACGACCAAACTGTGCTTGTGCACCACTAACACTGCAGTGTCGTCCAAACTGATTATTATTTTTATCAGCCATTCAGTCGTCCGTTCCGCTCGGACGCTGAAGCAACACGTGACTCCCGTGGGTTTGGCCAACGGCTGGAAAGATACAAAAAAATATATAAATTTATATTTTAAAAGAGATAATTACACTTGGGGCTCAATGCCATCAATGCAAATGATGGAGTAGCCAATATTGCAATGATCGTAAGGTCAACAAACAGGAGTGAATCAATCCTCACGACGGCGTTGCAATGCACTTGTAGCAATTGCCGGGGCGTTGAACACGATCGTGCCGCGCGCGCCCACGACAAAAATAATTCACTGGCGCACTGCAGCCCAACGTGGCGGTTCAATAGCCGCAAGTCGATAATATCTACGGATCGTGTCAGACTCGGCTGCGAGTTTTGTTTACATTCTCAGTAAACAGTTTTGAACACCTAAATAAATCTGAATTTATATATACTTATTTACATATTTATCTGGGTAGGCCTCATATATGTATATTTAGGCCCCATTCTGTGTTCGTCCTTGTCCATGGTTACACGGTGGCGAGATGTTAACTCCCTTGCCTAGTGCACAGGAGGTCGTGGGTTTGAGCCCGACGCTGATGCCTGCTGTATATTTGGAGTTTGCGTGTCGTGTCCCTCTCCCCGTGGTCACGTGGATTTTTCTCTGGGTCCTCCGGTCCCCCCCCCCCCCGACATTTAGAATCAACATGCGTTTAGAATATTTGGCTCCTATGCATGTCCACATGATAAGCCACGTAATCGGGCTATCATTTGTGGCCAGGTCGTTTCTAACAAAGAGCTATAATAACTCAGTGAGTCCTTACCTGGTAATTTTTTTTTTAAGTTGCTAGTTTAATTTTACATTGTTCTGACCAAGGATCTGTTTCAGTCGGGGCTATCCAGGGCTGAGTTCCAGAAACGTATATCCTGGTGGTATGGGGGTGGGGTTTGGGAGGGTCTTAGTCCATGGAAATTAAGTTTTGGTCCTGACGTCCTAGTGAGGGCCCTCGGAGCCACGGTCATCCCAAATCATCCTGGCCTCCAGCAGACATCGACAAGTTGTTGATGAGGTAGTGAGATACAGAAGATAAATAAAGACAAGATATAGATGGGAGAGATTAATTGGCCTCGGGATAATTATCTCGTTATGTTTATTAGGACTTGGGAATCCCCCCCCCCCCCCTGATATTTAATGCACCCATAATTTTTCCTATAAATCTCCAAGGCCCCTTGAGCTGCTTGGGGGTCCCGACGTTTGCTAACGCCCTGACCACGCGGCTTAAGCCCAATCCCCCCCCCACCCGACCCCAGCCCCCACCCTCTCCATCCATCCCTCCCCTTCTCGGTAAGAGATGCTCTGCTGTCCCATGCAGAGAGAGAGACGCACACCGACTCCGACGACCTTGAAGGCCGTTCACCTTAAAACTTAATTACTTAGCCTCTCACAGACACGCCGCCGCCGCCGGAGCGCGTGTTAATTTCGCGGAGCGTGTTAGAGGGGGGCGCCCCCCCCCCCCCACTCACACGAACGCGCCAATAAAAGTTGCTTTATAAAGCAGATTCCTCTCCGGCTTCTCCTTCGCAAACGAGGGCGGCCCGGCCCATCGCGGTGCAGCTGCCGTGGGTTCGTTACATTTATTCTGGCAGTAAATTGGCACAGCTGCCGGTTTTTTTTGCTGAACGTTTTCCGGCGCGTTCGGTGCACAGGTGCGCACAGAGGTGACCCTTCGTTGCTTTAAACTGGTTGTGTTGGAGCAGGCCCTGTTAGCGAGCGCCTATCAAGGCATGGGCAGCGCATGAGTGGCCGGGAATTGAACTCGGGTCGCCGGGTTGGCGGCACAGTGCCCTAACCACTAGGCCACCGCTCCTCAAGACACGCAAACCCCCCCCCCCCCCCCCCGACACACACAAAGACAAAGATCCCGTATAGCCTGCTCAGACTGTTGAGGCAAGTGCTGCTAACGAGCACCTATCAAGGCCGGCACAGCGAACAAGGGGGTGGGAGGCCAACACCACGCCCGACCGCCTTTGTCTCCCCAGTGGCGATGTTTACACACCAGGTACTCATTAAGACTGAGTCGACCTAGGGAAGGCCCATGAACCGGTTCAGATAATCGTCACTGATGTTGGCCGTGAGTGGGAACCGAACTCGGATTGCCGGGTTCATAGCGCAGCGTGCTAACCGCTCCCCAACCGCTCCCCAACACACAGGTACACACACACGCACAGAAACACACGCAGGTGAACACAGCACACTAATCATGACGCAACAGCTCCACCCTACACACAGGCACTTATGCACACAAGCGCGCACACACAGGCATGCACACACCCATAAACGCACACACAGGCATGCACACACAAGCACGGAAACATGCACGCACACACACCGCATTTTTCGTAATGGCTGGCACGCAAACGCCTTCAGGGAGCAAAAGCTTCTAAAGCTCGAGATCCTCGCGAGGAGCAGCGCAGCTCAGCTGCTGCCGCTGTCCTCGCCACCGCCGCTGCCCTCGCCACCGCCGCCTTCCCAGGAAGATTTCAGGGATTTTTGTTGTTGTTGTTTGCGACCGTCCGATGCTGCTTCGTCAAACAATAATAATAAAAATGCAATTTATAACGCGCGCAAATTTGCGGACGTAACGGCCGCAACTCAGAGACGCGGAGCCAAGCTCAGAGTCACTCTTAAGCATGGTTGTAGAGGTGAGTCTCTAAGTGTCTCTTGAAGGAGACTATTGAGGTGATGCTGCGAACGTGGAGAGGGGATTGCGTTCCAGACTGTTGGGGCAGCCACCGAGAAGCGGCGCATAGCCGTGACCGTCCTGGATCTTGGTACCAAGCGGAGGTCGTGAGTCGCACTGCCAAGGCATCTGCCGTGTGCTGTGCTGCAAGTCGTCAATAATGAAAAAAAAACCCGCAGAGATCCCGCGACGAGCAACGCCCGCCGCTCTCGCTACGGAAAACATCACAAACCCGTGACGGGCTTCCAATGTTGTCCCTCCACCAGACGTGGGGCTTGCGTAGTCGTCGCCAACTCGCCGCCGCGTGACCCGCGCTTCGCTCGTGTGCGTGCCTCGTCCACTTGCGCCGCGATACGAAGCCGCCAGCCTGCGTCCACAACGACGGCAGTCGCTGCATCGCGCGGCGCTTTCTGATGCGCTTCTGCGGCCGTCTGGAACGCTCTTCATTCCGATATTTGGAAGCTCACTGGAGCTATGCACTTTTAAATCAAGATTGGAAACTAATTTCTTTAGAACTGCTTTGTGCGTTTAGTTTGTTGTCCTACCCCCCCCCCCCGCACCTCCGATTAGCACGGTTGGCTACGTACGGTACGAAAGAAGTTCATCGTGCATACACATATATACGTTTGTGTGTGCTCTCTCCCTGTTCGTGCAGAGTTTGAATGAGTGTGTGGAGTTTGTGTAGCTCTCCTTTGTCTGCATGGGTTTCCTCCAGTTTCCTCCTGTAGCTTAAATACCATAAAATTTAATTGGAATTGAAGAAAAATATCCCATTAGTAAAAAAATAGTCACTTGCAAATCACTCAATTGGAGATTACTAAGACAGCAGCAGCAGCAGCAACATCGCCCCCTACTGCGAAAACCTGTCAGAACCCCTCCTGGATGCTTTATTGGGTAAACAAGCAGAATGATGATGATAACAATAACAATAAGCCTCGCTGCTCTCCCCTCCCGTATCTTGCAGACACGGCGAGCCCACGGTGGACTGACTGAAGATCGGGCGCAACGTGCGCACAGCGTGCGTGCACCACGACTCGACTGCTCCCACAGTGGCCCGGAGACAATACCACGAGCGGGAGGAGGGAGAGGGGGGGGGGACGCTGCGCTACCCATCGTGGCGAGACAGGGCCACCCAACAGGGCCACCCCCATCAGGGCCACCCAACAGGGCCACCCGAGCCGGGTGTGTGGCGTTGGAGCCAAACCGCGGCGAGAGATTGGGGAGAAGTTGCCGGAGTTGTGGCTCGGCGATGGCGTGTGGACACGCGTTCAGGAAGAGCCCGCAGTTGAAGTCGCCTCGTGTGTCTCCCTCCATCCCCCCCCCCTCCCTCTCTCTCTTTCTCTGTAATTCGAAGCAACTTTGAGAGACTGAAGTCAACATCTGGAAAAATCCGTTTACGAAATCCCCACAATGCTCACAGCTTCATTCCTCACAGAATTGTATTTTTTAGTCTAGAGTAGGTGGTGCGTGAATAGTCGTAGCCACAGTCATAGCGGGAGAGGGATACTGGATGTGGTGTGCTGGGTTCGGTGGCAAATAAAGGCCGTGGCGGCGTCTCCTGGCACTTGGACTGCAGGAACGCCGCGCTGACCGCGACCAAGAACTTCATCTCCGAAGGATCGACGCTCACCCACGTACACGATCTGTGTGGAATCAGCAGAGGTGCTTACTGCCCGAGCCTGATAGCACAGGTGTATTGCACAGGAGGTCCTAATGCTGTTGTATAATGCCAGAGATAGCAATGTGCTTTCATTCTGCGTATATATATAGACAAAGATCCCCCATATAGCCTTTAACACTGTTGGAGCAAGTGCTGTTAGCGAGCACCTATGAAGGCCTGCACAGCACACGAGGAGGTAGGTGGTTCACACCGAGCCTGACCACCTTTGTCTCCCTAGTGTTAATGTTTACACACCGCACCAGGTACTAATTTAAGGCCGAGTCGACCTAGGGGAGACCTACGACCGGTTAAATATTCGCCACTGTTATTGGTCGTGCGCGGGAAACGATTTCGGGTTGCCGCATTCGTAGCGCAGTGCGCTAACCACCACGCTACCACTCCCCACGTACGCACGTAGCCCTCTCCAAACACCTTTGTGGGTTCGTGCCGCGTGTCGTTCGGCACGACGTCCGACGTTTCACTCCACGTGCCAGGAACTTCTTGAGCAGTGGTTCTTAACCTGTGGTGCCCGCACCCCCTGGAGGTGCGAGATGCCCTTTCTGGGGGTGCGAGACATGGACGGGTTTTTTTAGAAGGTAAATAATCGAAACTCACTTTGTTTCATCAAACCTACATGTGTTTATTGACATTGTACATCTTTTACGATTGAGAACCAAAGGGGTGCAAGGCTGCAGTAAAGGTTCAGAACCGCTGTTCTTGAGGAACTCGGTTAAGAGGGCACATCGGAGAGCGATACGGCAGAGACACGTGGCACTTGCGCGCGCACACACACACGTGTGCGTCTACGTCACACATACACGCAAAAACCTCTTGACGGTTTCACGCAACGCGTCCATTGGCTCGCCTTGAGTCTAGACTCTGTAGTTTTCTGTCCATCGTCACTCACGGTCGCTATTTATTACAACGTGAATGTTCTGCAGTTCACAGCCCAGCGTACACGTGGGCCTATTTCCAATCCTCTAGAACGGCTAAGGGCTGGTCTGACTTAGCGCCGGTGCACCCTGAAACAGACGTGTGATTTTGTATTTGCGTAATGTGTGCGTGTGTGTATATATAGAGAGATAGAAGCCCGCGGAGAGGCTCCCTAATCAGCCCAAAGCAGTAATCGCTTCCGTTCTCTCCTCCCGCGAGGTGCTGAACACGATTTAACGAAACGGAGTGATACAAAAAAAAAACCCCCACGAAGAAACACGCGCGCACGAGTCGCTTTGTGAACGCGGCTGAGCCGCTTCCCACCTCCTCGACCACTCTCGCGGTCCGATTCAGCACCACCAGCGCGGCGGACAGCGACAACAACGCAGAGACGCCGACTCCGTAACGCCAAATCATTCCGTCGACGGACGGAGCACAACAAATCGCACTGCGAGGCCCCCCGCCCGCCCCCCTACTTTTAGAAATTTGATTTAACTGAAAACCCACTCCCGTCAGGGCCACGCGTCTACGCCCACACGTGTGCCGCACTGTACGTTGCCCTGCTTCGTGGCCCAAGCGCTCGTCCCAAGGGACCCAGGGCAGAGGAGGTTGTGGCAGCGTCATCGACTCTCACCCGAGGTGGCAAAGTGTCGGAGACACACCGGGTCACTCTCACGCACCTGGCGATACTCTTATCCTGGACCCGCGAGATCTCAGCTGTTTAAGCAGAACATACTTGAAGCCTGGTCTCAATGCATGGTCCATAAACTTCTGGGTGGAGTTGGCGATCACAGCATTAACTTTCATTTGGCCATATAAAGATATCGGTCCTCCTAAACGTATGCCAATCGGACCAAATGACCATGAATATGCCCGATCTAGCCAGATCTTGAAAGCCAAGCAGGGCTCCACCTGCAGAGTGCGCGTGGGCCGAGTTTAGTGCAGCAAAGTTCACTGTTGTACTGTGATGTTGTACTGTGATGTGCTACAACGTCTGTGCTCCTTACCAACACCAGCCTCCCTTGCAGGAAGGCAATATCAAAAACAAACGATTACCATAATCAAACCTTCGCTCACCATCGCTTTGCCATGTGGCCATACCATCACCCACGGTGAGTGGAGGCGCTCGTCCAGCAGTGGCGTGACAATAAGGCAGGGGAAGAGTTGATGTGCTTGACCAACGGGCCGTCATCGGCGGTGTGCACCACCACCAAGGTGTCCCTCACCACAGCCGGTTTGGTACCACCCCCCCCCCCCCCCAGTGGCACAACCGGGCTGGGGCCCACGGGCCGCCCGCATGGGCCCACACCCCACACGCCCGACTACAGAGAAAGGGGGAATTAAACACCCCCCGCTACCCCACCAGGAGCCGTGTCCACTTCCACCAGGCCACCGAGTCAGAACGATGTCCTGCTCAAGCGAGCATTGAGAGGCAGTGGTGATTATCTCCCGTGATCGGCCAACGTGGACATTCCTCATTTTCTATGGGCGTGGAGAGAGTCTATTCACATATGACGACCCACTGTTGACTCCACCAATAAAGCGGTACCCGTTTAATCGAGCACATCCCAAAAGAATGATGGGCAGAGTCAAACCCCACCATGCGGAAACCCACCAGCCAGGATTTGCAACTCGCAAACTTGCGATTGTGAACCGCTGGCGCGATACCCCCGACGTTTCTCCACCTAGCTTGGTACCGGCCCCTGCTCTGGGCCGTGTGTGTGTGTGTGTAGATTGGGCCGTGCGTGTTGGTTGTGGCAGCGAGACCACGTCCGCTCGTCGCCGTGCAGAACACGGGCCCTCAGAGTGCCTCTCGTCGCCGTCTCGTTCGCGTGCAATAATTACAACTCGTCTCGTCGGTCGATGTTCGTTTACACCGAATGGCGCGACAGCCAGGGCTTAATTTCTCTCCGAATGTTTTCCAGGTCGCTGGTAGACTGGAGCCGGTGCCGCGTGACTGCCGCAAATAGCCACAGTCCGTAGGGAGAGGTGTTATACTGGGTGTGGTGTGCCGGGGTGCGGGAAATCTTTTATGGGTCGCTGGTAGATGCAGCAGGTGGCCACAGCCTGTAGCGAGAGGTGGTATACTGAATATGGTGTGCCGGGGTGCGGGAAATCATTTCCAGGCCACCGACCCGGCTGAAATTAAGCCCTGGTGACAACTGATTCATGAATAATAATAATAATGATGATGATTATAATAATAACGATGATGAGATACACTACTATGTATAGCACAATAAAGTCAAGATGTGTGCAGACCACAGCGTGTTGTGGACGTGACTCGGGCGACGCTCATCAAGACGCGACGCCGGCGCTCATGGACAGGAGCTGCCGAGCGATCGGATTATTTCTCGCGGGAGAGCTGCGTTCACTTTTATTAAGCGTCTCTTCGTGCGGACGATCGATGAATGTCGGCCCGTCGATGCGTTTAGCGCAACTGGAAGATATTTTTTTTAAATTGTGAAATGGTGGGAGGCTGTGCCAAGTGGCTGGGCACCTCGGCGCCAAAAGGCGTGCCCCACACGCAAAGCTGCCAGCAACAAACGGCACTTATTAATTACGTACGGGATTGAGGATTAATGTTGCTTGAATTGAGCGAGGTTATTGGAAACTGGGATATGAGACAACGGGAGGGAATTCCACAGTGGAGCAGGAAAGTAGTGGTCAGCGCGATATGAATCCGGTCACCCGAGTTCAATTCATGGCCATGGCTAACATCAGTGGAGAGTGCTCTCCGAATCGGTTTTTGGCCACCCTTTCACCAAACCGCAGTGACCAGTGTGGTGAAGTATGGTCAAACAGCCTACACGGTATGTGGAGGCCTACATCCAGCAGTGGATTGGCAAAGTATTGTACGCGTTTATATTTTTTGTTTCATATATATGTGAACAGCTAAAGAACAGGAAGTCAGGGAGCGAGTGAAACAGGCGGTGGTCTCGGACACCATCACGGCTCGTGGGCTCTCGGGAGGGTCATTAGAGGCGGCAGGAGGACATCGAGGTGTCGGGTTTTGTTGAACCAGCTGAGCACTCCAGACGCCAGGGTGGCGTTTCATTTGCAAGAGTGACCTGGGTCGGTCAAAATGACAAACGCAAAACAATCGCAAATTAAGGGCAGCGATGAAGTATAAATGTGAGCCAAGGAGACTGCATCCCACGCGATGCCATCGCAGCGTCAGCGAGTCGGACCTCGCGCGCGGCGTTCAGTCGTCCCGCGTCAGGACAAAGGACCCCAATTAATTTCGTCTCGTCGCCCCGCGAGCCCGCTCGACTCGCCGCGACTGCGTTTCATCAACAACAACAACAGCAGAGGTAGACGGAGGGGGGGGTGAGGATTGAAGGTCCTCGTCTCATCTGCTCGAGCGCCGTTTGGGGAATTGTGTCATTTTCTTTTGTCTGCCGTTGCTATTTGTCTCCGTGCCTTTCACTCGTCGTCGTGTCGCGCAGACACACGCCCACACACGCAACTCGGGGCAGTTCGGTGTGTGTGTGTGTGGGCTGGGGCAGTTCCGCGTGTGTGTGCAAGGAGTACGTGGGGAGTGGTGGTGTAGCAGTTAGCGCGCTGCACGAGCAACCCGGCTACCCGAGTTCGATACCGGCTCACGGTCAACACCAGTGACGATTATCAGAACCGCTCCTGGGCATCTCCTAGGTCGACTCAGCCTAAAATGAGTACCTGGTGTGGTGTGTAAACATCGCCACTAGGGAGACAAAGGCGGCCGAGCGTGGTCTTGGCGACCCATCCCGTCGTGTCGGCCTTAATAGGTGCTCGCTAACAACACTTGCCCTAACAGTCTGTTAAGGCAACACGGGGGATCTTTGTTTGTGTTTGTTTATAACGAGTATCTACAGATGAATTCCGACGTGGCACACGAGCCGGTGGTGTGGCCCCCACCGTGCCCGGCCACCTTTGTTTCCCTACAGCGATGCTGTACACACATACAGCACCGAGAGCTCATTTACGGCTGAGTTAACCTAGGTGGGAGTCCCAGCACTGGCTCGTATACCACACCGCCGATTAGGCGTGCTCGGGAATCGAACTCGTGCCACAGCCTCCCACCCTTTCACAATTCGATTTTCTTTTCCACAGCGCAGCGGCCCTAACCACGGCACCACGACGGCACACGCGTCTCTGCGCACATGTCGCCACAGCAGCAGGGGACAGAGCGGTGCGCGAGCGAGCCAATCGCAGGCACGGGCAGTACGCGTCCACAGTCGCGCACTCTGCAGCAGGAGCCGAGCATTGCCCTCGAGAGCGGTGGACATCCGCACTGAAAATAGCCGGGGACCTGACGTTCCACCACCTCGCGGGGCACTCACCACCACGCCGCCTCACCCCTCTCATCAATTAGCACTAATATCACCTTCTCCATAATTAACGGCGCCAGCCATCCGCTCTATAATTTGCATTCGCGACTTCCACTCAGTGACGTGGCGTGATCGGCATGGGCCTCGGTGGAAGGAATTAAATAGCACCCCCCCCTCCTCCTCCTCGCCACCACTCTTCATAGCCTGGCCCCCCTCGAGCTCCAGTCTATTGGACCTGTTGCAGTATCACCGCCTGCACACTCGATAGCTGCTCCACTGCCCCCACACTCAAAACGGCGAAGGAGAAGCGAGCGGGACATTCCGGGATCTGGCTTTAAACTCAGCTCAGTCCATTTCCAAGTTAATCCGTCAAGCGCCGTGCAAACCCCATCGGGCAGCGCTTCACCTGGGTCGTTACCCTGGACTCCAACCACTGTCAGACACATTGCACAGTCCCCGACCCATCCAACCTGGCAGTCCGGGAGATCGGGAGGAGGTTGGGAAACGTTGCTACGGTCGGAATTGATCGCAAGGAAAATCGGATTGCAGCCAAAGTAGCATCGGATGATGATTGATGCAGCGTTTGTCAAAACCATCGATTTGCACGTGCAGAGTAATAGTTAAACCCGATTAGTGACTGACAGTCATACAATCAATGTCGACAAGTATTAACGGAATAATTGTGGCTATTGTTGTAGTCTGTTGTATACATGTTGCTTTATGACTGTCGTCTAGGTCGTCTCAGCCTCAAATGAGTACCTGGTGCAATTTGTAAATATCGTCAGTGGGGAGACAAAGGCGGCCGGGCGTGGTGCTGGCCACTCAACCCCTCGTGTGCCGTGCCGGCATTTCATAGGCGTTACTCGATAACAACACTTGCCCCAAACAGTCTGTTGAGGCTATACGGGGGACCTTTGTCTTGACCTGTGTGTCATGGTTAGCAGCACGCTGCCGCTGCAGTGGCAACAACGGAGCAAGTTCCTGAGCGCGCCAGCCCCCCACCCCCCACCCCCGCCAGCCCCCCAACCCCCACCCCTCTCCCCCGCCAGCCCCCCACCCCCACCCCCGCCAACCCCCCAACCCCCACCCTCTCCCCCGCCAGCCCCCCACCCCCACCCCCGCCAGCCCCCCAACCCCTACCCCCGCCAGCATTGGGGAGGGGAGGCCGAAGCGGGCTCGCGTGCCTCCCTCTGGTGGCGAGGGTCGTCCTCTCTCCTCCCCGTGGCGACTCCACGCGCTGCAGAGGAGACGAGGTGGGGGAGGAGGGGCCTGTCGGACCCGGTAACAGCCACTCGTCCAGCCCTAACCAACCACTAGTACTAGCCCTAACCAACCACTAGTAGTAGCCCTAACTAACCACTAGTAACTAGCCCTAACTAACCACTGGTAACTAGCCCTAACTAACCACTAGTAGTAGCCCTAACTATCCAGCCAACCAGCCACTACGCCTACCACTAACCAAATACCCGACAGATTCAGAATCTGTTTTTATTAATGGTGGAGATGGAATCCGATGAGCTATGAAGCTATTTTACACAGATGTCCAGTAGGGGTGAGTGGCCAGCGAGTTACAGCAACCAAACAGTGCAAGATATAGCAAAGGTAAGAACGCCGCTATAAATAAACAAAGCATCAGTTCAAATCAACACCAATTGCAGGCTTGGGCAAGGCAGCAAAACAACAACACAGCCAACCACGAGTAGTAGTAACCCTGCATCAAACCAACTCCACCTCCTCGACCAATCTTCATTAGAGTTTCAGTTGTGGAGTTCACAGCTTCCCCCATTCAACGCCCCCATCCCACCCATCCACACAACCTCTGTGCAAGTAAAACAACATCGACCACCCGACATCATCCAGACCACGTGACCCACGAATGCCGCGGCGTCGACCCTCGACGCACGACACGGGACGGGGTAAAGGGACCGGGGGAGCGGGGGGGGAGCGGGGGGGGAGCGGGGGGGGGATCGGGAGGGAGCGGGGGGAGCGGGGGGGAGCGGGGGGGAGGGGGGGGGGGGAGCGGGGGGGGGGCGGGGGGGAGCCAGTTTGGACACCCCGAGAGGAGTGCTCCCAATCACGTGGCGTCATCATCGATGTCGGTTGATTCACCCAAACGGGGAGTCGAGTTTGCACATTCACACAGTGCTTCACTGATATGTACACGTGTGTAGAACTTCTTTCGCGCCGTACGCTACCAACCCGTGCGGAGGAAGGACAGCAAAAGCAGTGCAAGAACGCCGTACGTGGAAATTATTTCGGCTCGCCACATTTATTTCACCGTACAGGATAATATTGATACAGCGTACAAGAATATCGGTGGATTATCATGGATCGGTGCACTCTGTACTCTCTAGTTGTAGTGCCTTACGCCGATCATTCCTACTCCAAGCCTGCCAGGTCACAGCTGCATTGCGAGCAATATCGAGCGAGACACGAAGCCCCGCGCACTCAAGGGCTAAAGGGAGCCGAGCGGGACGGTGCGGACACAACGAGAGGCAACAGCGAGGAAGGAGGCGGTCACGAACGAGAACGAACAAAACACACGAGAAATAAAGAGAAAATCCCTTCTCGAAACGAGTCACGGGCCCGGCTCAGCCGCTCGCCCACGGCGCTCCGCGACGCGCTCCTCCTTCTCTCTTTCTCGCCAAGCTTGAGAGCAGCAGATATATATTTTTAATTCGCTTCCAGCACGAGTCATATCTCACGCCAATTACCATCAAGCCCGTGCGTGCTATTTATGCCGCTGCACACACAGTGTGTGGGGTGGGGGGGGGCGCTAAGAATGGGGGACGCGCCGATGTGATTAATGACCGCGAATTGTGATCCACAGACACCAGGGGCTGTAATCTCACGATCTCCAGGCGCGACCAGGGTGGGGGGGGGGGACTCTAATTTTAAACTCCACCATCCCACGCCATCATCAGCAAACATCTCCCACACCCCTCCCGTAGGGCCGTCACTGATTATGAGTTTCTGAATAATTACACACAATTTTGTCGGGTCGCTGGTAGATTGCGAGTGCGTGGCACAGCGCTATGAACCTGGCGACCGAGTTAGATTCCCGCTCACGACCAACACCGGTGACGATGATCTGAACTGGTACTGGTGCGTAAACGTCGCCACTGGGGAGACAAAGGCGGTCGGGCGTGTATGCTGGCCACCTACTCCCTCGTGTACTGTTCCGGCCTTCATGGGTGCTCGCTAACAACACTTGCCACAACACTCTGTTAAGGCTATACGGGTCATCTTTGAAATTGAGCCTTTGGCTCAGGCGATTGCTGGCCCCGAAATCCGCGTTTCTCATCCTCATGTCCATCCACTGCTGGATGAGGGCCCTCCCCACACCGTGCTGCTGGTGGGGTTTAATTGACTATACTTCACCACGATGACCATACTTCACCACGATGACCATACTTCACCACGATGACCATACTTCACCACGATGACCATACTTCACCACGGTCAGTGCGGGTTGATGGACGGCGGAGGTGCAGATGTGTAGGCGCGTAATACTGCACAGCACAATGTGTAGGTAGTACTGCACATCACAATGGCATTTGCTGCACCGACTTCTGCTGACAATGCAGTCCCGCAGCAGCTCATAACAACCTCGTACATGCGTGGAGGTCGCCCATCCAAGCAGTGTCCGGGCTCAAACCTGCTTAGCTTTATCTGACGAGGGTGGGCGCATGGCGGGTTATTTTGCCACAGGTCTACATTATCACGTGTACATTACAGGCGTGGAGGAAGCCCTCATCCAGCAGTGGATCGATAATGGCCGATGACGAGTAGAAGAATTTAATGGATAGGCGTACCTCGTACTGTCGTGGCAGCGCCTTACGCCCAGAATCCATCCGTGGTCCAAACCGGCCTCGCAGCGTTCCGAGAAAACACCGCGCGAGAGCCGCGGGGCCCTGGTGGGATCGGAGAATCTACGGAGCGAAGACGACCCCGTGGTCTCGGGGAGTGCTTCAAGAAAGCGAGTCACTCGCAAACTCTTGGACCCGCGTGCCCGCCCCGATCGCCGCCAAGCTCCGGGAGGAAGGCGATGTGCCGGAGGGTGCTGTGATTGTCCATTAAGGATTTATCACGGCGCTAAGAGGGTCGCGTGGGGCGCGCGGCTTCGTGTCGCGATGATTTAATGGGAGATCCGAAGCGATGGCAGCTGCATCTTGATTTATAGAAGGGGCGCAATGATTAACTCCAAATTGGGATCACGTGCAGGGAGAGAGTGAGTCCATTAATATTCAACATTTACCGAGCCTAAAGCCAAATGAGAAAAGTTTGATCACCAGAAGTAACCGTGGACATTCCACTATTGGATGAACGCCTCCCCAAGTCGCCGGGATCTCTCACGATCCTGCGATAAATCATTCACCCCCCCCTCGCACCGACACACGAGACGCTGTCATCGCTCCGTCTCTCCGGTGGGATCGTCCTCTGCGTGGGCTCCCTCCTCGAGCCCACAGGGTCACGAGCCCTTCCTGCGAAGTGTCCTGGCCATGCCGACTTCCTCTTCTAAAATAGTCAATTTTAACTCGTTCACGATGTCCTGGGTGCATACATTCCGTCATTTATGAATCAGTAGTTGTCAGCCCGTGCCTTCAGCTTTCGGAAGCACCGAAGCAAGAAATTCCAGTTCACGGTTTTTTGAGTGCCAGATTACACGCGCTGAGAGCGACGCAATGTGGGACGCACCGACAATGGGACACTCGCTCCGTGACATCGTCCCACCACTGGAGTAGTCGGTGCGCTAACCACGGCACCACCGCTCCCCATGCATACATCATACACCCAATGACGCGCATGCAATTAGTTTGTCCTACCGCCATTGACATGCGCACATGACAGCTGTCACTTACAATAACATATTACATACCTATGACATGTACGCTCTCAGCAGGATACTGTGATAATAGGAATAAAACTGCACGTGGTCGCGTGGTTTGCAATGTCCGTGTTTCTGATCCACGTCACAACAGTTCAGAAGCGCACAAAGATGTCCGCTTTTAATTTAGACCGAGAGGCGCCCTTCCTCGTAACAAGCCGCTACGAGAAAGGGGGCTGCTTCGGTAGGACACGTAACCAACAGAGATGGTGGCTGGCTGTCGAGACCTAATGAAGAGTGACAAAGCAGAGGGGGGGGGGGGGACACAGCTCCAAAGGGGACGCACACTGCGGAGATGGAACGATGGAATCAGCTCGTGTGCTGGAGCTGGATGGATTGTTGCACTGAGAGACGGCGACGACTTTGGGAGCCCTTCATCCGGCATGAATTTATCACCGCTAATTGGAGAGTTGGCGGTCGAGACGAACGATGATGCTTATACACAATATAAACCTTTTACCTTAATGGCGTCTCTCTCTCTCTGTGTCAGCATAGACAGATTGTATTTGCTTCAACAGGAAGGCCAAATAAGCTGTTAGCGCAAGTCCGAGCATGCACCTCTCCGTGCTGCTTTGGGACGGTGGTCGATGGTCGGGGCGGGTCATGGAGTGGCAGCAAGAGAGGAGAGACCGCACACCCCGTGCTGGCGACAACGGCGGCGATGGCTGGGAACGGCGAGCATTGACGAGCGCTCGCTGTGAGCGCACCGCGTGGTTAAATAATCTCGGTGTCGTTTAATCATACTTATTATATAATTACTTATTTATCAAGGGTAAGCACACCGAGTCGTAGGAGTCTTTTTCAGGATGGTCCTGCATTGGGTTATTTTTTATTTTAAGACGTTTTAAGCCAATTAACGATGAGTCGTGTAAATTATAGACGTGGGGGAGGAAACCGAAACACCCGGGGGAAACACACGCATTGTGCGAGGGGGCAACGCTCGATCCCCGTTCAGATGGAAACAGATGGCGATTGCGTCCACACTTTGCTGTACCGCCTTCTCCTGGCGAGCCAGGATACGGGCACCTCTCCGGCGCCCGCGGAGAAGGGAGTTTCACGACAACATCTATGTGCGCGGTCATCCACCAACTCTCGCTGCTGCTGCAGCCTCCACAGCGCTGGGTGTTACAGGCAGCCGCGCGCAGCAGCAGCAGCGTAGCCACCACGACCAACAAGCCCCCGAGTGGCGGTTCAATGACCTCCACGTGTAGCCGAGGAAAGGAGTGTGAGCGGATCACCGGGGAAGCTTCGCAGGGCAGCGAGACCCACACGCGCGCGCTCCACGATTGATTTGACGGCCGTGACGACCACGTGCACACGTTTAAAGCGTTTAATTAGGCAAAGGCCGCGAGCGACTAGTAATTGTAAAGAGTGAAGCAGCAACGTTTTAATGTTCAATACGTGATGCGAACGGGGAGGTTCGCTTTCAGCGGGCATGTATTACACAGGAGGCCGCTTGATTCTATTTTAATTCGCGGTATTCACTTCTTGTGGATTTTTTCCCCTGATATACAACACGATCGACGTATGTGGGGTATGCTCATATACTGCTAAGAGCACAGTACAAACAGTATTCACCACTTTAAAATCACCCATCAAAGGTGGATTGCTGATTACATCATTATTTTAACCATCATTCCATTCTTATTTTTGTTTTACAAATTCCCCAAACCTTTCTTCAAAGATTACACGTATACGCAGAAGAATCACCAACATTTTAAAACAAAATACAATCTTCACACAGACACATACCACCACGGGTGTTGTTCCAATAACCATCCAAATTCCCGATCAAACGTGTAATACCTACAACTAGTATAGGCAATCACTTTGGGGTCACGCGTCAGAGAGCATCCACACACTCAAAAGAACAGCCACGAGACCGGGGGGGGGGGGGGGGGGGGATGAACCTCCCTTCCCCACCGGTCATCCTCTCGCCGAGCCCCGCACGCGTCGAGGCCAACGATGGCGAGTCGCGGCGTCTGCCCGGCGACCCACGCTCTCCGTTCATTGAACATCGGCGGCGCTGCGGGGAATCAAGGAATGCGCGTCGCGTCGTCCGGACCGTTGCCACCGTTCATGCTCGGCGCGTTGCTGCCGGCTTCAGGGGCGATCTCAAAGGTCGCTTTGAAACGCTTCGCCAAGTTAAGTTGTTGTTGTTTTGCGTGGACCCCGGACCGCGAACTTCAAAAATGCGCCCCGGACGCACGCTTGGGAGCGCCTCGCTCCCGTTATTATTTCTCGGTGCTAATTCGCAAATGGCTAAACGCACGCCAAAGAGGCCACGGGTTGATGGAACTCCATCAATTCCAGTGACGCTTTTACGATGCAACGCCGCTGGTGGTCATGAATCAGGAGGACGCGTGCCCTCTGAGACCTGACCCCGGCACCTGTGCGCGAGCGTGCGCCCCACGTGCCGTGCGTACGGCACGGCGGCGCCTCGGGTTGGCTCCACGGCCGCCCGCCACAACCCCGGCTTGGCCAGCCAAACGATCCAATGTGCGCGCTTTCGCGAGCGAAACGCTTTCCCCGTAACCGGCAGTGAGTGGCCCTTGTGGCAAATCTAGCGCGGGGCAGTTTTTTGGCGGCGCTCGATAATTGAGGGCGGCGGGAGCGTCGGAAAATTGTCCAATCACGCGGAGGAGGAAGAGGAGCGGCGAGCGGTTGGAGTGGTGGGGGGGGCGCGCCAACGGTGCCGAGCGGCATGAGTCGACGCGTGCCAGTGCGGCGCTGCGGCCGTCGCCATGGCAGTAAAAGCCAAAAACGGACACCGTCACCTCGGTCCCGCGAGTAACGATGCAGCCAACGACCCCGCCCCCCACACCCCTCCACACCCCCCCCTCCCCCACCACCCCCACACCACCCCTCCCCACACCACCTCCCCCACACCACCCCACACAACCCCCCCACACCCCTCCCACACCACCTCACACACCACCCCACACCCCCCCACACCCCCCCCCACACCCCCCCCACACCCCCCCACACCCCACACAGCATGACGTAAGATGAAGGGTGACACGTGACACAGAGGGCCATGCACAGAACACGACGGGTGACGCACAGAACATGACGGGTGACACACGAGACACTGAGGGTGACACGTTTGACACAAGAGGGTGTTCGTAGTCGTTCTTCACAGATGGACGCTGCCACGCGGTGCAGCACGCGTCAGTTCTTGCTGGGCTCTCCATTCGCCGAGATCCTCAGCATGATCGCGTCCTTGGGGCTCAGGGTGGTGAACGACTTGAGCTGCAGCGGGACCTGAGAGCAGAGATGAGGGTCACCCACGTCACCACGTGACCGAGACACGCGCCATCTCTCCCGCTCTCTCGCGGCCGCCATGCACACGCACAGCCCTTTGGTCAATCCACTGCTGGACGAGGACCCCTCCCCCCCCTTGCTGTATCGGCCACGGAGGCTGTTTGACCATACATCACCGGCGCCGGTCAGTGCGGGTTTGATCGAGACGCACACTGACAATCGGCACGAACGCCCACGCGACGTAGGCCTGTCGATGTTGGCTCGCCCCATCTCGACGTCGTCCTGGATGTGCACGGCAGTGGACGTGCGGCTGATTTCACGAGTCATAGGAAACATGAATTGGTGCATCGAACAAAACAGTTCGTGAGTACTCAGAACAAGATAATAGAGCTTTAGTGAATAGTTTAAAGAAGTTAGCTGTTCATCGGCGCGGTGATGTGGGCCCAGCGGTAGCGGGTTCGCCGCTTGTTGCCGAGGTTCGTGGTTGGAATCCGGCAGGCCACCCTGGTCATCACTGCGAGCGTATTCACCATGCAATACTCCGTGCAGTCAGCATCACAGTGGGAAATGGAGATCCCGTGACGTCGTGCGACACGTAGGGCCACTGTCTGCCGGCGTCACGGTATAAGTTTTGCCGAATTGGAAAAATGACACCGCATGTGGCTCAATCGTGATGACACATTGCAGCGTGGCTCCTGTCGGCCAAACTCCTGCAGGCCAGTGTCCGTGAATGACAGCACCTTCGTGAGAGCCTTGCACTGTGAGAGTGGCATGAATACCACATGTACTAAATTATTATTATTTACAACCAGAATACACCCCAATGTATATATACATATATAATATACATATTGTGCAAATTACATTGGGGTGACTCTTCTACAACTCATCATTTATTACGAAAATGAACACAACTATCCTCAGTATTGCCCCATATTAAAACAACACTTAGCCTACGTAGCCTAACAGAGGCAGCTTGTGAGAGGCCTTCATCCAGCAGTGGATTTACCGTGGTTGATCACAATGACGACGACTACGAAGCTGCGGCGTACACTTTGCTGGACGGCAGCGAATTGTTTTTGTGTTCCCACGAGTGCTTTGTACAACACGGCTGTCGCAATCCCAGGAACGTTATTTAAAATTAATAAAATAATCTCACGTTTGTCAAGCACTGTGCCTGCCGTGACATGTAGGCCACGGCGAGCATGAGTCACGCTACAAAGCAAATCCGAAAGCGATCATTCATTCGTTCACTCGCTCACATTCAGTCCCCGTGAAGTACACGGCTGCATCTCAACGATTCCACGTCCAAGGTGGAGGGAGAGGCCCTGGTGGCTCCTCAGGGGGTTCAAGGCTGCTGAGCCGGCTTCGCTAATAACATCCTGAGTCCGACTCAAGGTTTAGGTCGCCCAAGACTAAGCTCAAGTCATAGAGTGAAGCCAATTAAGGACCTCAATGTGGCCACCAGTGAACGCACCGACAGAAACCCCGCACGTCATGTAAAACAAAAAACGTGGTTTGCCGTTTAACTCGGCCAAAAGGCCAGCTCCAGGAGATTTAGTGCAAACGGTTTTTTAAGACATTCCCTAAAAACAATATTGAAAAAAGAGTCGGCTTTAGCCTTTCCTGCAAGAATACAGGAGGTGTTAAGATGTTCAAACACCAAACAAACACCTATTGCGAGGCATCAAGTGTTCATTAACCACACAATGCTCGTGGCAAAACATGAAAAAATAACACTAAAAACAACATATGCATTATCCTTTGTAACAAATTGGCCTGCACCAGAGAGAGCCTCTTGTCATTGCCTTGTCTCACCACCAGTGTTAGTAGACCAGGAAACAACGCCAAGAGTCCATCAGCAACAAGACCATGCAAAAATAAATCAAAGCATTAACAGCTCGGGTTGGGAGCCGTTACATCGATAGGACCTTTTGTTGTTGTTGCACCCAGCAAGCTCATCCTGCGTTGTCGCTTGCTGCTCTTGCCCCGCACCTCCGATGAGCACGGTTGGCTACGTACGGTGCAAAAGAAGTTCAACGTACACACACATACACGGGGCGCGTCCGCACCTGCGTATCGGGCGTCATGTGGAAGGTGAACCTGTGCAGCAAGCGCACGAGCGCCACCTTCGTCTCCAGCAGCGCCAGGCGCATGCCGATGCAGTTACGTGGCCCTGCGCCAAACGGGAGGTACACGAACGGGTGGCGTGCCGCCTTCTCCTCCGCGGTGAACCTGCATCGTGCACGCACACGCGAACACACACACGCGCGCACATGCACGCACACACGGGCGCACATTAAAAGAGAAAACTCCACAATGTAACCTTAACAGGCTGTTGGGGCAAGTGCCGTTAGCGAGAACCGATGAAGGCCGGCACGGCACACGAGTGGGTGGGTGGGGAGGCCTTCATCCAGCAGTGGATTGACCATGGCTGATGATGACGATGACCTATTTATTTGTTTCGTCTGTAACGGATAGAGCAGCGTGTTTCGTGAACGTGGCGCTTCGAGTGGCAGATTGGACTCGACTTTACTCGCTAAAACCTCGCCAGGGGCAGCTTTGCCCGGGCGGCTAGCTGCTAGCCTGGCATCGTGGCAGCTTTGAACTTTGCAAGCGACCTGGCCACAACATTTCTAGGGTCCAAATACTTTAAATGCATGATGTTATATTTTTTGTTCTTTCGGTAAAGTCACGTAGAAGGGAAATAATAAAATAATATTAATATAAAATTTTTTGTTTTATATTAATATTATTTTATTATTTCCCTTCTACATGACTTTACCGAAAGAACCAAGAATATGAATCCCTGCAGTTACAAAAGCTTTAAATCAAGATTTAATGCGTGATGTTGTTTCTTAATGTGGTGGGAAAAACCGGAGGACCCGGAGAAAAACCCACACGACCACGGGAAGAAGACGCAAACTTCAAAAGTAGAGCAGGCGTCACGGTAGGGATGGAACCCACGACCTTCCGCATATTAGGCGAGCTCGCTAACATCTCCGGGCAAGCGCGGCTCACTCGCCTCTCGGGGATGAAGCGGTCGGGCTCGGGCCAGTACTGCGGGTCCCGGTGCAGCACGCTCACCGGCACCTCCACGTGCGTCTTGGCCGGGATGCGCACCCCCTTCACCACGCAGTCGCGCAGCGCCTCGCGTCCAAACCTGGCAACGAGCGAGCGCCAACCGCGGTTGTTTTTGCTTCTAAAGTTGTTCAATTTTGGATTACGCACAGCAGCAATCATCCCCCCCCACCCCATCGGCTACTTACTGGCAGACTAATGACCGTTTGCAGGCCAGGTGCTGAGCACACCTTGTGTAGCACAGGGACAGCTGCCCGTTCAAATGTGTTGACACGAGATGTGATGCCAAGCCGCTCTGAGACGCCCCGGAGAAACGAGTTGTTCTCGCGATTCAAGTTAAACGTGCAGCCCTGCAATGTCATGCTCGTGCCACCGCTGGCAGAAGCAGCCTCCACGAGAGGGACCAAGTTGAGCCCAGGAACTGGGACACAATTTAATTGTGGGCGGCTGCAAGCTGGAGCCAAACCCAGAAGCTCAGCAGTGGTAGCTGGAGTGCTCCGAGCCCTAGACCACCTGGCTACCTCATCATAGATCAATTCTGTGGCTGAGCGACAATGGTGTTTTATGTACATCTCTTAAATGTTAACGCCTTTTTGTGTCGTTTTGTTCGTAACGCATCCCAGAGGTTTTGAAACGCGACACATTGCTTTAATACGCGCCACTAATTCCAAGGCGTTATCGCAAACCAATGTGTTTGGGCATCGAGACCATTGGGCTTCGAGACCAACGATGAAGATGACAATATCGATGACGGTGGCGATTCGGACAAGACTGAACGCCTGCCATCGCTACGGTTTACGGCTGACAGAGGTCCTGAGCTTTCCAACCGGGGCAACTCTCTGTGATGAATCACCCACCCCGTGCAATTACAATCACTGTCAAGGAGCGGGGCCTCTATGTAAATGAGGTCTATATGCGGTCTAATGAAGCTGCCCCAAGCCAAGACGTGACATGCGCCTTGTCGGAAGGACAGGTGAATGGACGGTGACTTCGTACCGCAGCCCTGGCGGGTAGAGGCGCAGAGTTTCCGAGATGACCATGTCCAGGTACGTGAGCTGCTGGATGTTGTCGTAGTCGGGTTCTTTCTGACAAGACAAAGACAAAGATCCCCCGTATAGCCTTAACAGACAGTTGGGGAAAGGGCAGTTAGCGAGCGCCTATGAAGGCCGTCATGGCACACGAGAGGGTGAAGTGTGAGTGTCTAAGTGCAGGCACTTCCACCGAGCCTTCCACGTTCTGCCGCTGGCACGAGGGCCGCTCCAGCTGTGACCCCCGCGAGCGCCGTGGCTAAATCGAACGCGCGCCTTCAACAGTCCCCGACAGCGGCGTCACCACCGTCGTTGGCAAAATCGGAGAGAGCGACAAGGTGGGGGTTGATGATGAAGAGGAGACGCACATGTGTAAAAAAATTTTGCACAAAAAGGACAATAAATACGATGAGACAAGAACTCGCGGAGAATAACAACAGAGGCTGGTGACTGCGTAAGGCCGGCAGGTGGCGATGTCAGCTTGCTGCTCACACGTCTCTGTTGTGGATATTGGGCCCAAAAGTGAACCGAGGAAGTAAGCATGCAACTTTTAGTGTCAGCACGTAAGGGTAGCAACTTCGTAAAACGAGGCACTTCCTCGACACGTACAAATACATCGTCACCATCAACCACTGCCTACCCACTGCTGGATGAAGGCCTCCACGTGCCATCACCATTCCTCGCAGGCCAGTGCCGCTATGATCCGTCTCAACTCCCGCGCGTAAACCGATCTCATCGCTCCATCTCCATGCTTCCCCTCCTTTGGCTGCTATTCCGTTACCAGTCTCGTCCCACCGGTCATCGTCCCGTCTAGCGAGAGATGCGTCCTGGCTAAGCCCATTTACAAAAAAGTATACAACATAACAAAGAGAAAGATACCCCGTAGAGACTTAACAGACTTTGGGGGCAAGTGCTATTAGCGAGCACCTATGAAGGCCAGCACGGCTCACGAGGGGGTGGGTGGCCAGCACCACGCCCGGCCGCCTTTGTCTCTCCAATGTTCATATTTGATTAAAAAAAATTTGAATGTACATAATACTTGGTGCTGCTGCTGCTGCTCCATTGGCAGTGGTGCACAAGTACATATAACGACACATTTGTCAATAACATCATGGCCTTAAAAATAAAAAGTATAGAAATGGTAACAAATCTTCACAGCCCAGAGGCCAAGTGCAGTCCAACTGTGCTCTCGGTTTAATGTCACGGTACAATGAACGCCCATTGCTAACTTTGGCAGATGATTTAGTGCTCTGCAAAAGTCAGGGATTTTTATACTTTTGGTTTCATTGACTCCCCCCCAACCCCACAGCAGATCTACCCATAAAGGGTTTGTCTGCTACTCAATAACTACTATGAGTGTACTTATTCATATTCCAATTTAAAAAACAAAAAACTGTTCATCAGGAAACATTAAAAAAATGTCTCACCAGGCCCCGTTAAGTTCATTCCCCAACTCTTACTGCGCTGTAGCTGCTCACCACGATCTATACATGCTCTGATCGTGGCATTGTCTTTGTGATGTTCGCCATTTGGCGTCCTCTGGTCTGACACTGGTGAGACTGGGCCCTAAAGAAGGCTGTCTCTGGTGTGGGCCAATCAGAGGTTCAAAGACAATGCCATATATACTATCAGAGTATGTTTGCTCGCATCTTCACCACTGGTACATGTGGCTAATGCGAACTTGATTCCTTGCAAAAAGGTTTCTATTTTGTGTTTGAACATCTTAACACCTCCTGTTTAATTGCCAGAAGGCGTAAACCTATTCTTATGTTCTCATACTTTTATTGCCCAAAAACCTCATCGTGTGTATTTTTCCGTTTAAGGCCACGGTGTTATAGACGAAGAGTGCTCACAGTTGCAGAGAGCGGCGAGGCATCACCGCGTGGCGAAGTAAGAGGACGTCAGAGAACCACATCCGAGTTCTCATCTATCCACACCGTGGGATACTGCAATCCTCGCACTCCCTGCTACGAATGTTTCCCCGCGTGACAAACGGAGCATTGCGTCATCCTCAAAGCTGCAAATATGTGGAATTAAGCGAAAACGAAATATAGCATCATTGTTTTTTTACGTAGCCATTGGTGACCGGGCTGAGATGATCAACTCGCTACAATCCAGCACCTCTTCTTTTTCTAAACAGTGGGGGGGGGGGGGGGGGGCGATTGCCTGGATTTTTTTTTACAACTTTGGTGCGACCGGCTCAGCGCTCTGACCCAGTTCTCAGGCCCCCGACACAACCGGCCGCGTCGTGTGCGGTCGCCTCCACTGCTAGCCTGTTGCAGAGATTCCATCGCGGGCAAAGCGAGACGCCGACCCGGATTTCTCACGGGGTTTGGGCGCGAGGGCACGACAATGCGAGGGTGCGCCCGGGGTCTGGTGGCGGTGTCCCGCGAGGGAGTCTGACACCCCCCACCCGAGCACGCCCCCCCCGCCCTTGCCCTCTCCCCTCTCTCTTTGTTCCCCCGCGTGCCTTCACTGCACCCCGCCATCTGTCTCGCCGGCCCTCGCACGAGGATGACCAAACGCGCGATCGCCACGCAGCAGCCACCGAGACGCCGTTTCATCCGAGTTGCCGCTAAGCGCCGCAGTCGCGGCAGACGAAGTCTCGCCACGGCTAACGCATCGGAGACTTTACCGAGAGAACCAAGAATATGAATCCCTGCAGTCACGAAAGCTTTAAATCGAAATTTAACGGCTACTTAATTTTTTTGCGCGAGCAAAGTGACAGCCTCCCATCTGGCGCGTTGCCGTGCACCCACAAACGCCCCACAAAGCAGCTGGTAAAATACAGCCGGCGTTGATTTTTTTTGTCGGCAAACAAAAGAGGTACAAATTGGCGGCGCGTTAACAGCGATAGTCGACGCGGCGGAGGGGCGACGTGGCGGGCCCCAGCTCGCTGCCAACGCCGAAACTTCGTCTTCCACGTGGAAGAGCTCCGTGAGCCACGGCAGCTCCGCTCAAACCGCGAGGCCAGAGGAGGCGACGCCGTTTACGAATTCATTCCCTCTTTTGTCTTTTTATTTTCGTAATACGCAACGCATCCCCCCCCCCCCTCCCCTTGACTCAAAACATAAACACACACACATCACACACACGTCTAAATTCACGTTAATTTTCGTCTGAGCCCCGAGGACACAATGACCGGGAGATTTTAATTAGGACAGGAGGCGCGGAGTGCAGCCGCCGTCAGACGGAGGCATTAAAATGCTAATGAGCAGCTGTGGACAGGGGGAGACGCGGGGGCAGCTGCTCCTCGGCAGGAGGCGTCGCGGCCCAACGCAGCCGCCCAAGCCGCCACCGCAACCGCCACGGCCGCCGATCTCTAGCGCCGGCCCGCTCACACACACGCGCGCACGCACTGGCAGCCGGCATTATTGGACGGCGTGCCGGTTGCCCCTTCTTAGCACCCTGGCACCGAAATAAAACGCCGGGACTAATTTAAAGCTGTGCTTTTTTCGTTGTCCGCGGCGTGCGGGCGCACACGTGCGACGGTCGCCGGCGGCAGGAGAATTTTGGCCGTCGTCATCCGAGGACGTCGATCTCAGCATCGCCGTGGACCCGCGGTGCTATTGGCAGTACGGCTTCAGGGCCACGGGCAGGGCTTACGGCCCGGTCTGCCTCCGCTCGGGTGCTCGGACGAAGACGATTCCCTGTGGTTTGCGAGATGAGCGGCGATGACAGTTTTGGCGACGGCACTGGTGGCTGTTATTTCGAGGATCGAGGGTAAGCTGTGTTATTGTTAGATCGGCGTGGCATGAGAAGATCACTTGGGAGGACACCCGTGTTATTAATCTGCCATTCACCTTGGTTTATTGACCGGTAAGGCCACTCTTGATATTGCCTACAAAAAAACTAAAGTCAAATTGATTCACCTGCTGGCTGAGCAATGAGGCAGCAGTGATCTCCTGTATATAACCCTGAGCCTGTGGTGGAAAATCCACGTTCCTCTGGTAGGGGCAAGTCTATCCAGAGTCAACCCCCAGGGATGATGGGCAACCTTCGGATAGGTAGCCGCTCACATATATCCTGCTGAGCACCAGACCCGGTCAAAGAGCCTGCCTCAATATCCACACCAAATACAAAGATCCCCCGTACAGCCTCAACAGACTGTCGGAGCAAGTTCCGTAAATGAGCATCTATAAGGGGGTTGGGGCTAGCAACCCGCCCGGCCGCCTTTGTCTCCCCAATTGGGATGTTCACCACACACTGCACCGGGTACTCTTTGAGGCTTTCTCCCCCCACTGCCTCAAGCCTCCTCTGTCCCAATTCAGGTTTTCAGTAATTTTCTTTTGTACATTTGTGTTGCTGTAGCAACCGGCGTAGTAACCAGGTCCCCATCGGAAACGAGCGGGTATTGCCCAATCGGGGTGGGGGGGGGGGGGTATCACCAGTGCCACAATAAAACCTCACCCCACGTTGCCACGGAGGCATTCGCTGAGCCGCGCCGGCGGTGTCGGCTACAGTGCCGCTGCCCCGACTCCACGTCGCTCTACAACGGCGGGCTCAGCCGGGCCACGCGGTGTCCGGTTACCCGTGTGTCTGCGCGCTGACGCCCGCCCCCCCCCCCCCCCTGGCACACATAATGCGGACGCACAAAACGATGAAGGGGGACAGCGACGGGGGACGGGGGGCGGGGGGGGGGAGGCCGAGACGCCGGCGCAGGGCACGGCTCCGCGTCCGCCACTTGAGGGACCGCACCTGCGCCGGACAACAATGGGAGCCGTCATCGTCCCGGCGAAACTCGAGAGCGAGGAGGAGTGAGCGAGGAGGAGTCCACTTTTTCACCCCCCCTCCCTGTACCCCCCCCTCTACCTCCCCCCACCTCGGCCCTCGAGCCATCCTCCCGACCGCTGCCGTCACTCGCCAGGGCGGGAGGAGTCGCCCCGCGGCTTTGTCTCTCGCGCCGGCTCGCGTTACCCAAATCCCTGGTGTCATCGGCTGTTGTGGCCGAGAGCAATGAGAAAACGCCGTTTGGGAGTCGTAGGAGGAAAAACAAAAAAGTCACAAAAGAATCAAGCGGGGCAGGCGATTAGGTTCCAAAGGCAGCCATTGAGCAGGTGGCTCTCACGGGCTTTGCGGGAGATAACGAGGGGTGGGTGGGGTGGGTGGGGTGCGATTAGGGAGGAGCGTCCGCAGAGTGTCCGGCGGCACGGCGATGCAGGTGTGCGTACGTGTGTGGACTGCGGGTGGCGTGGCGCCTACGGTTTGCCACGTGTCCCGGTTTTTTCCCAGCACCTGTCCCCTTATCGGGGCAGCGGCCGCTGTGCTGCGAAATCTGTTAAAAGTCTTCGCGGGACAATAAAGGCCCTGGTCTTTGTCAGTCGCGTCGTAATCCTACACCGCTCGAGACGGTGCTTTTACCCGTAACCCTCCATGTTACTACGGCGCTCGGGGAAGTAAAACGCACTCCAAACCTGGGCCCGGTGTGTCAATAAAATGACATACAGATCTGGTCACACACAAAGACAAAAACCCCTCGTACAGCCTCAACAGACTGTTGGGGCAAGTGATGTTAGCGAGCACCTATGAAGGCCTGTAATGGCACACGAGGGAATGAGTGGCCAGCACCACGCCCGGCCGCCTTTGTCTCCCTCGAGTCTACCTTATGGGGAGGCCCAGGACCGGTTCAGATAATCGTCACGGATGTTGGCCGTGAGTGGGAATCGAACTCGGGTCTGCCGGGTTCGTAGCTCAGCGCGCTAACCGCTGCACACAGAGCGTCTTACAATCCAGAGAATGCGGAAGTTGTCCGCCTCTTCCACCGTTTTCTCCCCACGATTCCGTCCCCGCGGTGTTTGTGCCACGGGGGGTGTGGCGCACGACCCCGAGTGGGCACCGCGCTGCGTGCCAGTGTGCGTGCCGGCACGTACGTGCTGCTTGTAGAAGCCCATGATCTCCTCGCGCAGGCGTGTCTGGCAGACGGGGTTCGTGGCGAGCAGGTACGAGACGAAACCAAGCGTGTTGGACGTCGTCTCGTAACCGGCCACGAAGAACAGGAAGGCCTGGCCCAGGATATGGTCGTCCGTCAGGGTGTGCTTGTGGATGCGCCTCCCGATGGGGCCTCCTTCTGCTGCTGCCGAGGAGGGAAGACACGTTAGACACGCGGCACAAAACGTCCGACGTTTCGCCGTCACGCGCGCCGGGTGCTTCTTCAGGAACTCAAGGATTCCTGAGGAGCAAAACGTCGGACATCGTGCCGCCGGACAATATGCGGCACGACCCGGAAAAACCTGTCGGAGAGCCGTAAAGAGCTGCCGATAAACGTGCACGCACGCACATACGCACGCACGCACATACGCACGCACGCACACCTCTCATCCCATGGGAGCCACAGTTTACCGCTCACTCGTAGGCCGCTCTCTAAATTTATCCTCGGGAAAGGAAAAAACAACTATTCTTGTGAAGCCACACACCTGCGTGTTTCCCAGCAGCCGAGGTGCGCACGTACAGGTGTCAGATGGATTCAGCTGCATTCTGGGTAAGGGGCCGTCAAGGGAATTGGTTGTTTTTGCTGAGCAACTAATTAGTGAGGCGTTTCCCTTGACTTGTTTTGCCAAAAACAAGTCAACCTGTACAGACAAAAACTATCCCTCCCCTGTCCCTGCTCACTCCTGCGATGCTCACGTGCCCCGTCCTTGCACAGCAGTGTGCTTTGTGGGTGAATTTAGACAGCACGTAAATCCACGTCACATCGTTGTATCGTAACAACGTTCTGTATACGTACGCCACTTTAGTCAATCCACTACTGTGTGAGGGGCTTCTCCACACAGTGCGGTCATTGGGGTTATATTTGACCATACTTCACCACGCTGGTCAGTGCGGGCTGGTGAAGGTGAGGCAGACAGATGTTGAAACATGGCACGGTACAACAATGGATTTTGCTGCACTGCCCCGTGCCGTAGCATAGTGCAAGACACGTGGGAAATTAAAAACTCTCACACGTGTACGAGTGTGGTCACCCAGAACACAATCATGGAACAAATAACGACCCAGTGGCCGATTCACAAACAGGAAGGAGGCATCGTCATCATCATCACATCAGCGATGCACCACTCTGCTACTCCCGACGCAATGATTTGGCTCAACCACCTCAACGTGAATTTATAAGAATTAGTTTTCCCCCTTTTTTCTGGCAAAACTGAAACCTTTTTTTACAAGGAATCATGTCTGCATTAACCACGATACTTGTGGTCTCGCGTCCTCTGATCTAGCACCGTTTGAGACGAGGCTCAAAAGAAAGCTGCCTCTGGTGTGGACCAATCAGTTTCAAGGACAATGCATATATTATCAGAGTGTGTTTTTGTTTGCATTCTGACCACAAGAATTCTGGTTAATGCAGACATGACTCCTTGTAAAAAAGTTAAAGTTTTGTTGCCAGAAAAAAGGGGAAAACCCAATTCTTATATTTTGGTACTGGCAAGGGAGGTCCCATGATGTGAATTTACAGTCGCTGCTTTACATCACCATCAGCCATACAAAAGAAGAATAATGGCAAAAACCACTTTAGGTGAGGAACATCTTTGCCCATATCCCTCTCCTCCGCGTTGCTCCGACATTTTCACTGCACACCGACGGCCTCACGCACCCCGAGTGCCGGAGTCGCCCCCTGCTCCTGCTCCTCCTTCTCCATCGGCCACGCTCCGGGCGGCCGCGTCTCCGTGGCTCGCCTTGGAGCCCTCCGCGTCTCCTCCGTCGCCACCACCCTGGCCCTCGGGCGCCACCTCTCGTGCATCGAGCATCAGCTGCAGGAAGTCGCGCCGCCTCTGCGCGCCCACACGGAGAGCCTCTCGTCGTTATCTTGAACACCCTTTGGGTTTGGCGCCTCCACACGCACCGCCGCACGCGAGGGTGAAGTATAAATTACGCCTGACGATGATGATGATGGTGAAATCAAGGAAGCGGGTATCAAGTCACAGCCGGGTGGTTCAGCGGTAATAAAAATGAAAACAAAAACATCAGGCAATCTGTAGTATGCACAACAATGGAAACGAAGTTAAACATCAACTTTTTTTTGTTACGGGGGAGCAGGGTTGCTCAGAGGTCAAAGCGCTGAGCTGGCAACGCTGAGGTCACAGGTTTGAAGATAGGCTCCAGTCGCCCGTTGATCAACCGGGTTCTCAAAATCAGCGGAATTGATTGCTGTGGCCTGGTTGCCAATAACCGCAAATAATAACTAAATAAATCACACTTTATTTCCCTTAACTTGGTCCAATTCCGCCTGTAAGCATGACAAAATATGGGGTTGACTGCCATGCAATTAATCATTACTTGGAGCAGGAAGGGTGGGAAAGCATGCCCTGCGATGTAAGATGCAAAATAATCATAACCAGCGCGGTCCACAACCATACAGGCTCGGGAACAAAACAACGTCTGGGAAAAAAGACCGGAGCCAGTTGGTCTCGTCGCAAACAGCGTTTAAAACTAAACAATGTTTTATCTTACCAGGTAAGGCCCACTGAGCTATATCACTCTTTTTCAGAAGCGACCTGGTCATCACAAATGATAGCTCAACAAAGTCTGCGGGTTTGCCGTCCCCGTTTTCACGGGTCATCAACGTCGGGCGGTGCAAACTCGCCCCAAGTGGGCGCAATGAGACGCGGCGCGGCCACCAGGTCCCGGCCAGCGGCCGGCTTCTCCGTGGGGCTGCGTGCATGCCCTGGCCTCGTTTTGAGCGGCTCCACAAGCCGCAAAACCAGCAGCCACACAAAGACAGGCAGTCCAGCACAAAATAGCCGAGTCCTATTTCACAAAAGTCCTAGAAGGCTCGGACGCTACGTTTTTTTCACCCCAGCACTGATTCATTCCCCAAATGCTGGAACCCGTGTAAACATGCGCAGCCCGTGCGAGTAATTTATTTTACTTCAGGAATGTGCGAGTTTGTGCCAGCGGTCGCCCGCGTGGTCAGCCTCTCCCACCAGCCCCGGCCAGGCAGCGGACAGCCAGCCCAGCGTTACAAAATCCCATACAAATGAAAATTAAATTGTTGCCTTTTTTCGGTAAACAAAGGGGGCATTATCATCACTATGCCGACCGCCGCGTCCCCACCCCCAGACGGCGACGCGGGCTGACATATGGCCGGGCGCCTCTCACAAGCGAGCGTGTGTGCGGGCCGCTCGCTTGCTCACTCAAGAGTGTTTGCGCGCGTCCATCCGTCCGTGTGTGCACGTGTGGACGCGGGGACAAGCGAGCCCCTCTCCTCTCCGTGTCCCCACACACCACCACCCCCACCACCCCCACACACTCCGACCTCCCCACCGCTCCACTTCACACACAAAAGCGTCGGTTTGTTTTCAGAGCTGCCGAGGCCCCCGCGAATGAAAGCTCCGTGGCGTAAATGTGAGCGGCGTGAGACAGTTCGGGTCAGGCTCCGACGCACGGACACAAAGACAAAGATCCCCCGTGTAGCCTACACACACTGGCGGGGAAAGTGCCGTGAGCGAGCGCCTGTGAAGACGCACTCACGCAAGCACGTGGCTACGCCGACCACCCACGTGTCGTCAAAACAACGCCGGCTTGCGGGACGTACGGCCATCGGTCACGAAACACTCCTTGTTGCATCGATGGTCCCTTCGCATGTTGCTACGATTTTTGGGATCCGTCAGTCTTACGAGTGTGATTGGCGAGCCTCTTCCTAAATATGCTTCAGCCATTTAATACGACCATCATCATCATCAGCAGCAACTGTCAATCCACTGGTGGATTAAGGCCTCCCCAATCCGTCGTTATCTCTCACAATACTGCAATATAAAGAGTCAAGCCAATATCATATTTTACAATAAATATAAGGCTTTATACAGTCTGTAAAAAACATACCTGGCTTGCTTTGTTGTGTATATATATATAATCCGTATTTGACGCGTGGGAACAGCTGGACCCTGCTATATATGTATGTATGTTGAACTTCTTTCGTACCGTACATAGCAAGCTGTGTTAATTGGAGGTGTGTACTTAGTGAGGCTTTCCTTGACAAACTGTATTATTTTAAAGCATCTCAACGGGTATCTAGATTCCGTTGAAACAAATTACCATTGTGGAAGTATACTCTCCTGCAATTTGTGATAAGAAAACATTGATATTTAAAACATTTGTATGGATCGTGGCAGGCGGATGCGAGAAGGTCAATGTGCGCCCAGATCATCCCTCCTGCTGCTTATCTGAAATCAGAGACTCTGTGAGACAGACAGGCGGGCAGACAGGCTCCACAACGAGCCCGCCAAGGTCACATCATGACACTCACCACGTCCACACACCACACAGGCACACACACTGACCACGTCCACACACCACACAGACATACACACTCACCACGTCCACACTCCACACACCACACACACACACTCACACCACGTCCACACTCCACACATCACTCAGCCATCCACACTCACCACGTCCACACTGCACACACACGCATGCAATCACACAACACCACACAGACGGACACATGCAGACCATGTCTCAACACTAAACACACGCACACTCCCACAAAACCACGCAGACACACACACCACATCCAAACTCCAAACACCTAAATCCATACAACCACAAACGCACACGGACACGTGCGCACACATGCGCATGCTCCCAAGCCATGCCACCCCAATGTGTGTAACCAACACAAAGGTTACTGTAACTGATAAGTAACTAATGTGCTGAAAAATGTAAGCGAGAGCCACTGACCCAAGGTCAGGCAGATTAAAGGTGAACAACCCCCTCAGCGCTGGGTGTCTCTGAGTTGTGGGCCCCCTGAAGGGGCCCTGCAAGAGCTCGACCCCTAGGCGGGGGTCCTCTGGGGTCCTCATGAGATCACGCTCTGACTTTCCTTCCCAGTGCCCTTACTCACTGAAGTCTGCTGAGAAAAGGCGACAGGTGGCTTCAAGGCACTGATGAACACAACAAGAGGAGGCTCTCTGATCAACAGAGAAAAGCCAAAAGTCGTTTCCTGCTCAGTTGAGTACTGCAAAGGGTTCTCATCTCCCATCTACATTTGCCATGAGCCAGTCGTGGGAATTCCACATCCCCCTACGCTGGGGTGAATCTATTCATAAAACAACACACGGTTGAATTCCCCATAAAGTGCTACTCATTATGTCGAACACAGAGATATGATGGGCTGAGTTAACACCCCAACCAGGATTTTAACCGCTGAGCCACATCGCCAGAATGTCGATGGACACGACAGAAACTCGCAGGTATAACACTGCAAGAAGAATAATGTGCAATGCAATGTTGCATCTTTATTCGAAATTTACTTATCCAGAAAAGCCTCACCGAGTCTCACAAACTGTTCTCTTGAGGGTACTGCATTGGGATGTGTAGCCAATTCCTTATTTTAAGAGAGAACCCGCATGTACAAGGAGGTAAGAAATGCCTGTAAAGATCCATTTGCTGTACTCCCATCTCCTTGCCCAGTGAGTTGTGATTCTTGCAAACCTGTGTGAGCCACCAATCATTGCCTCGAGAAATAAGTAAATTACAGGTGTGCGCTACCATGCCCGGCTATAGTTTTTTTCATCTGATAAAAAGTGGCTTTGTACTTAATTTGGCCTTTTCTGGCACTGAGAACAAAGATTGGGCACTCAATCACCTGCACAACAAAGGGCAAGGTCTTGTGATTGTTGTGGAAAGTTCCTTAAAGGACAATAAAGCCCTCTGCTGTCACTTGTGGGTCATTCACCAACTGACAATTAATCTCTGCTTTCATACTTAGTTATGAGAAAGGAAAAAGTTACACTTTGTGCATCGGAGCTGATATCACAACAATGATATAACTAACTTGCAGCACCTTGTGAATACACTGCTCGACGATGGCCTGCCAATGCCGTGTCAATCGTGGGGGCTGTTTGACCATACTTCACCACGCTGGTAAGTGCAGTTTGTAAAGTGGTAGCTCAGGACCGATTCGTATATCACTCGCCAATGATGTTGGCCATGCTGCCAATCAACGTTATCATTATCATGTTATAATTTGAAGAAAAACTAAACATCATATCAACAATGAAACACGTCTGTGTGTGCACCACACAATAAAAAATACGACCTTGCAAAGTCTGGCACAGCTGAGCTACAGACACAGCGAGTGATGCAGAAAACAGGTCGTGTGCTGTTGCAAAAGTTCATGTGGGGTTGCGTAAGTTTCACTCCTAGCGAAGAACAAAATAAACGCTCTCTCTTTCGTTAGTGGGAATTACAAATAAAAAAGAAATAATAAAAAACATAATAAACCCATGAGGACGCCGTGTTTCCTTGGAGCGTTGGGGCTGTGCCATTGTGGTTGATTTATATTTCTGACGCATTTGAAATAGGAAAAAAATTATATAACTCGTTAAATTCTGGTCGTCTCGCGAAAAACAAATCCGTGCAGTTTTCGTTCTGCGTGGATAAGCATGTGGCGACAGAGTACAGAAAGACCCCAGTTCACAACGTAAAACCTCGCGAAGAAACCCACCCCTTGCTGACGGGCAGCCATCAATAAATTCGCTCGTAACTTCTCCAAAAATGACACCCGCATCAGATTTTCGGCTTCAGAAAACCGTAGAGAGTAACTCCGAACGTGTGCACGTGTGCGAGCGGGCACAGCTGGCGCCGTACATTAAATTAGGCAGCGTGGCACATGGTGTTGACTGCTCTGCGGTGCGTTTTACGTAACGCAATTACTTATTTCGCACGAGCTTGAAAAACACGTCAGGCCATAAGCCGGAGCAATGACGAACTCGCAGCGCGTTTTCTACCGCCGGTTATAAATGGCAGTGGGGTGCGTCGGTGGGAATCGCTACCCTTTGAAGTGCATTCCCTAGGAGCACCCTTCAGCGGCAGACGGGAGGGGTTCCGCGCATGCGCAGCCACCTTTCAACTCTCTCTTCAAACCCCCCAGAGGGAAAAGGTGAATGAGCCACCTGTACGCATGCCCCTCTCACGCGTTTGTGAGCGAGAGCGTGCACTCGTTGTTGCCGAGCCGTCGGTGTGCGCACCACAAACTGCCTTCCACCCAGGCGACTTGTGTTTAATTCCTGACTGTGAGCAACAGAAGCCAATGATATATCATGCTTAGTTTACCCCAGATCAACTCAGAATTAAAATTAGTAAACGATTGGGAATTGCCAGGTGTATGACTGGTCACACTACTCTGTCTGCTTTTTGAGCTTTAATCGTTGCTCGCTAACAGCACTTTCCCCACGAGACTCCTGTGGGCTTATATTTAACCAGGTAAGTCCCACAGAGACTGAAGATTATATATATTTTTCTGTAATTGGGATGGTCCTGTAATTTGGATGTTTGGCAAATCCCATTAACAGGTATTTGTCTCTGTTTGGCAGGAGGTACCAGAGAAATGGAAGAAACCCCACACATTCGAGAGGATAACACTCAAAGCTCCACACAGACAGATTCAGGAATCTATTGTTGTACTTCCATCCTACAGCCACTTTGCAGCCAACCCTGCCCGACTTGGTAATCCCAGAGGCATTCTCTCAAACCGAGTACCAACTCGGCTCGACTGAAGAAGTTGTATTTGAAATTGTCGCCTGCACTGTACCCCACTCTCAAGGCGAACTCGGAAGAGAAAAGGACACCAAAAAAAGGGAAGCAATCCCAAAAATGCAAGTCTGTTGATCTCTTTTGCTCTAATGACTAAAACAGACACCAGCCCTGCCACCCCCACACTGCCATTTCTCACCAGCCCGCCACTTACCCATTCCCACCCCCACAGCTACCAATCACCAACACACCCGACCCACTGCTCACAACCCAGGGAGATCCGCATCATCACCTGCTCCGGGGGCTGCGCCTGTCGCATTTTGATGATGTCTTGGATGATGCGCTTGAAGAATCGGTTGAGCCGTTTTTGACGTTCGTTGGGCAGCAGGCGCATCAGTGGAATAAACACCGACGGGAAGGCGACTGTATGCACACAATTAACGCACGCGCGCACACGCGCACAAAGACAAAGACACAGGGAGTATGGGTGAATGGCCTTCGCGCGCACGAGAGCTCGCGAGAAGGCAAACACGAGCAGCGACGCGCACTCGCCACACTCGTTACCGACCGTCCGCGGCCCCTGCCATGGCCACCATGGAGCAGGGAATGTCCACGGCACGGGTCAAAATGTCACGACCCAAAGTGTGATTAAAGAAGCCATTAGGTTTATAACTGGGACGATACATCAACTCGATCAATAAATCAACGATTTTTTTTAGCAAATATTTTTTGTGTGAATTACTTGGGCCCATTTAAATATGATGGCCATCCTCACATACTGCCTCCCAAAGGCAGGAAACCCCCTGCAATGTCATGGGAATGCGAGGGCATCATCGCCTTGGCCGAAAAGGCTTACAGATTTAACACTTTAGTTTTTACCGTGAGATTATTGGCAATGACCCTTTGATCAATTTGGTCAGTTATCAAACGGTTGAGTCCCTTGCTAAATTTGTATTCATATCGGATATCCTTTACCAGATGCTAAGGTAACCACCCGCCACAGACAGATAGGCAGAGCTTCCACATGAACGCTTTCGACCTTAGTCGGAAGGCGTTTACAAAAAAATCAACGCGCTCGGGCCACAACGGCCGCAGTACTCGCATCACCACGAACGCACGGACGAGGAACATGGCGAAGCGGAAGAAGGTGAAGTTGAAGAAGAGGTGGGCATGGCGCACGAATGGGTCATCGGGGTTCCTCTGCGAGTCCACCTGCATGCCGAACGCTACGCTTGCGATTACGTCCATGCTGTAGCAGCCAAAGCACCTGTGAGATGGGATTGGGGGGGGGCAGCGGCACATCCCAGGCACACGCGCATGCACAAACACGTGCGCACGCACAAACACACGCGCACACACGCACACACGCACACACTCCATATCATTTACCAGTTTTGCCGCCATCCCATTACCTCTCCAACGCACTGCGTCACTCTAGTTGTGGCCACGTGTGAAGAACAAAACCACGGCACTCGGGAGGAAAGGTCATCCACTTTCATGAAACCTATTCCACTGTTGAGAAATTCTCCCGGGCAGCGACCGGACACACGACTGGCCGAGATTTAATTATGTCCGATACATTTCTGCGTATTTTTGCCAAGGTTATTTACGTGGCAAAACTTGTATTTGTGGAACCTGCAAACTGATGTGCATGTGCCCTAGCTCAATCTCTAATCCGAGTTTCAAAGTTTGCAAGATCACTCATTTATTTAAGGCATCTTCTATAAGAAAGAATTTGTACCTGACATAGCTTACTCGGAAAGAATGGGGTTTTAATTCATGCACATAGTACAACAAAACAATTTATCAAACACATCTCCCCCAACCAGCCCTCCCCTCCCTCCCCAAAAAAAACTTCTCAAATATTTCATCAACTTGTCTTCCTTCACCACACAAAGCGGTGGAAAATTCAATCCGCTGAAAGAAAATCCCAGTGACGACGTGGCGAGAACCCACCGAGACCAAATGTCTCTCTTTCGACGGAGACCTTCGTTACAAAAGAGAAAAAACACACGGGCGTAGGGTTTGGGCTTCTGCGAGTGGCCGGGAAGTCCCTTGTAAGGTGGCGCCGGCGGGGGTATCGAGGGAATGGCGACGTGGTCCCGAATCGGCGAGGCCGGGGCTCCAGGGAGAGGGCATTTGACCTCGCAGCACCCAGCAGCGCTGGAGATTTAATTTCCTCTCGTGTCTGCTTACAACTCGCTGAATAACAGTCGCCGCTCGGTTGCGCGTAAGCAGATTTTTTTTTCTTCTCCCCGCGTTCAATTTAGAACGCGCCACGCGCCAGATTTTTTGGCGTCACAAAGGCGCAATGGATTTAGATCGGACTCATTATGTCCGAAGCAACCTCGCCGACTCGCAAAATCATTTGCTCGCAAATGATGTTTGCGCAGGTAAATTGAACACACCATTAACCGGTGCTTGTTAAATTAATCACGCGTTACTTATGCAGACACCATGGTAACAAATAACAACCGTAGAAATCTGGCTGCCATTTAAAATGTAAATGTGGAAGGTTTAATAATGCAAAGAATAAAACAAACCAATTACTTTAAAAAAATGCAATCTAGGGGGATATTAAATTTCAACGATTACTCATGAATTTGCAATTTTGGAAAATTACACATGCGCACACGCTCACTCACAAATACACATTGCAGCATGCATTCCATTTACGTATATATGCTTACAGTACTGGTAAAAAGAAAAAGGTATTTGTTAACGCAATCCATTAACGATCGCCCCACCCATCAATCAGCCGCTTAATGCATCATTCATTGAATGGATGCTAACCTCCAGACATCGAAGGCCTTGCCCAACCGTGCGTGAGCCTCCAGATTTTCCAGCAGAGTGTCCGTCGCTTGGTTAATGAGAGGCGACATCTGGGAATGATGCGGCCAAGCACATGACACGGCAGGGCGCACGGCGCCCCCAAACACAAGCGGGTATTACAAAGGGCCCAGCCGCCCGTGATAATAAACCACCAAAAGCCCGAGCAAAAAATCACCTTGCGCCACTGCACTGTAGCCCAAATTCTACGACGTACAGCCAGCGCTCCAGACAGATCACACCCACCGCATCATAAAAACACGCGGCGAAATCGCGCCGTACAAAGACAATTCAAGCACGGTCCGTTTCGGTGAGGGGACGCTGCCATGGTGTAATTGGTCAGCGAATTGCACTCGCAATCCAAAGGTCACCGGATTGGCAGTTAAAGCAAATCACGCCGCCTCTGTCCATCCAGCAGCATAAATGAGTACACGACAGCCAGGCCATTGGAGGGTCGTGTGATAGTAGAGTACTCCCGCCTCTTCTGAGATGGCTGGCCAGTGTGGAAGAGTAGGCCAAACTACTCAAGAGAGGGGCTCACTCTCTCGGGCTCCTTTTAGCTGGCAGTGGTGTGAAGAAGTCACATTGCAGGGCTGCACCTTTATCATCTCAGGCAACGGGTCTCGGCATGCTGATGACTGCCCACTGTTAAAAACATAAATTAAGTATGTGTGTAACTTCCATAGTTTTTGTGCTACGAAGATCAGCTCTCAAAAATAAATAAATAAACACACCACGTGGCACTGTTGCAATAAGAGACAAGATTCCCATCAAAGGTCCACGGCTTGCAAAAACCACCGTCATCAGCTCCCAGCAAACGGCGCGGCACAGATGGCGCTGTGATAAGCGCACGCGTCGCTCCCCGGGCAGGCCACAGCCACAGCAACAACAACAGGCACTGTACTGTTCACAAGCGCGACTCTCCCTTAAGACACCAGCTGCTTTATGCGATTTTCAATCAAAAAATTACTAATCGTGTTTTGTAAAAACAGCACCGTGGTTTAAAGTGCGGAAATTGTCTCATTCAAGGACTCTGTGTTCGTGGGATATATTAGAGGCAGTAATTGCTGTGAAAGTCATGTTAGTGGGCTTCTACAGGTGGTTCTTTCATCAATAAATGATGCTGATGAAACAACATATTTCACTGAAATATTTTTATGAAAAAAAACTGAATTTTGTAAATATATTATGCAGAATATGCAAACTTCCATTCATATATAATAAGTGTAATAATTTAATGCCCCCTGTCAATCCACTAATGAATGAATGCCTCCCAATGCTGTGTTGTTCATGGGAGCTCTCTGACCATACTTCACTGTGCTGGTCCACGTGGGTTCGGGAAGAGGTCCCACGACTGGTTCAGATATCACTTGCCACTAATGTTAGTCAAGGCCAGGAATCAAACCCAGGTCGCCGGGTCAATAGTGCAGTCCACCAACGATTGTGCCACTGCTCCATCCGAACCAACATAACCTGCGTTAAATATCAAAACACTCGCTTCATCCCCATAATATAGAATACACATAAAACACATTTGAAAACTAAGTTCCTGCAATAAGCATGCTGCCACAACAGTGCCACGGTTCGCACACTCGACTTGCAATGCAGATTCCATCTACTGGCGCGGCAGATGTAACAGCGAGCCAAGCTTTTTCAATCCCCCCAACCCCCGCACCGCCACCTCTGTCCACCCAACAATTTAAATTGGTTCATCGCTGTCAGGCGATCGGCAGGTTACGCATGGTGGGGTAAAGTGTGTGTACTCCCACCTGTTCCAAGACGTCTGGCTAGCGTGCAAGACCAGGCCAAATAACCTCAGTCCAGCGGTGGAGCATTAACAATCTGGGCCTCACTGATAACGAGACTTTGCAACGAGCTGACAAAAATGCATAAATAATTAAAGACGTTATACGATTTCGGCCGTCGAGATCTACTGTAAAATCAGCTGATGTGTGGAGACATTGCCTCAAGGGGGAGGCCGCAGCGGGTGGGCGGTAGGGCGAGCGGACGAGCGGGCGTGCGAGCGAGTTGGCGTGCGAGTGAGTGGAGGTCAGGTCACCTCTCTCATCTTGGCGGCGCTGAATGTGGGCGTGAGAACGCTTCGCACGTGCTTCCACTCCTCGTCCCGGAGCATGAAGATGCTGTCGCTCATGGGCTTGCTGGTCAGCCGAAACTCCTGAGATCGCCACACGCGACAGCGGGGGTTAACGAGATTTCAGCGCGGCCACTGCCATGGGAAGTATGATGGCGGCGAAAGTCGGTCATGCCACAAATTAAATATTTACATTTAAAATTTGGCCTCATTGTGTTTTACCCTGCCTGTGACCAAATCACCCAGAATGCGTCCATCATCATCACATCTTGGAAGCTATGCAGTTTGAGCCTGGACAGGGCTAAGACGAGCGACCACCAGCATGTCAGGTCAATATAGGCTGCTGCGGGGCTACATCATCTACAGTGGACAGTATGAGCAAAATAATTGTTGTACTGTACTATGCTCCAAAGCCGATGCGTGCCCCACCTACGCCAAGCCATACTGACGAGCGTGGCGAAACGATTAATAACTCCCAAGACTAATATGACGTGGAGGGGGAGTTATCATCCAGCAGTGGATTGACAAAAGAGCTGCACATGTATTTTAGTCTGTGTTGAGCGCCTCTCCTTGACTGCAGAATTACTGGACACATGCCTGTAGTTTGCCGCTGGCAATGAGTTTTCGGTGATTAACGTGCCGATAGACACCCTGACTAGTCCTCTGCCGAGGACACTCATGGCTGTCGTAAGATTTTACAGGAGATATAGCGCCGCACAGTAACCGCCCCTTGTCATCTTGCAGAACGACTGGCTGTCCCCTCCAGCCTTGTCATTTCAACAAATCATTAAATCTCAAAGGACTGCTTCCTGCAGAGAAAAACGAAACTAATTAAATACAAAAATCACGGGTAGAGAAAAAAACCGCCACGACTACAAGAACCACTTGCTAGTTTTTACGTTAAATATCTCGATAGGAGTGGTGCCATGAGCTACAACTTTATTTCGATACTCATCTGGTATGCACAGTTTAACTAAAGACACCCGAGATTCATAACAATTATTATAACAATACTTTACAGGCCCTCTGTCAATCTACTGGGGCATGAAGGCCGCGCCACGCTGGGGGGAGTGGGTCGGTGGTTGTTGGCGGCCGAGGGAGCCTGGAACCGGTTCAGAGATCACTCGCCACTGATGTTGGCCATGGCTGCGAATTGAATTCAGGTTGTGGGATTCATAGTGCAGGGCGCTAACCACCGCACCACTGCTCCACCCCAGTTGACATTAACGTCGACATTATTGCAAGACACAAAACACACCTACCATCATTGCAAGTATTTTGAGATGCATCTGAATGCAGATGCTATACACATACACAAACTGTAAATTACTTTGTCGGAAATCACACTTTACTCCCTAGGTTTGATGCGTTTTTGTTAGTTGTGTTGATTATATAATCTAGGGAGAAGGCGAGCAGCTCAATGCAGATTCTGAATAAGTTCCCAGGCGCATGCATCGAAACGTCAGACACCTTGCCAATCAACACACGATCCAACCATGTAATGCACCGGTAAGAGTTACGAACTCACATTGAAATTATCGTCAAAGTACAAATTATAATAAACCCAGGCACGTAGACAGTTAACGCATTGGCTGCGTGCACGGGTGTGATCGAGGCTCGTTCGTCAGTGCAGCTGGCAAGGTGATGGACACTCACCATGCGGTTCACGAAGTTGTTGAAGTCTTTCACCAGGATGTGCTTCAGCATGTCAGGGTCAGCCACCACCAGGTTCATTCGCCGCCCAAAGTAATACCTGGGCACGGGCGAGACGACGTCGACACAGCCGAGGCCGCAGCTCACACAGCCCTTACACGTTTACTTTGCTCTACTACTGGCCTAGCACAGCAGGAAGTAGGGTCATATACAAGATCGCCTGCCTCTGCCACAATGCCTTCACATCTGCCTGCCCGCCGTACCTTTCTTCATTATTGACAACTTTCAGCTCAGCACACGGCAGATGCCTGCGCAGTGCGACTCACGACCTCCTCTTGATACCAAGATCCAGGATGGTCATGTCTACGCGCCGCTTCTTGGTGGCAGCCCCAACAGTCTGGAACGCTATCCCTCTGCACATTCGCAGCATCACCTCAATCGCCTCCTTCAAGAGAGACTTAAAAACTCACCTCTATAACCACGCTTTCGAGCGACTCTGAGCTTGGCTCCGTGCCTCTGAGTTGTGGCCGTTACACCCTCAAATTGGCGCGCGTTATAAATTGCATTATTATTATTAAAAGGGCCAAGATCAAGATGTATTGACGGCCAAAAGTCGTCGATGCCACCGCACCACGCCAATGCTTTCAATGTTTCACCACATCCTGCAGCTGCTGGACAGTAGACACGTGACCTCCAAGATCTGCCCCCAACAGCCTTCTCCTTCCCTTGGTCACTAGGCTCAAAAATACTCAAGGCTGGAAGTGTCCAGCTTGGTAAAACTGTCATTTATTTCTACTAATTGGTAGGCACAAAAGAAAGATTGAAATAAAAACATCTCACCACCAACCTTTGCGCATGTGGCTCTATTGTCTCTCGCTGGTCCTGCCTACCAGGTTTTATCTGCAAGGACCTCTGTTTTGTTACGGCTGTGTGTCTATTTGCTGTGGTTGACTCCTGCCCACTCGTGTCTCTTTTTCTGGGGCACCTGTTGATGTATGTCCATGCGGCTCTCTCTCTCCTCTCTGACTCTTTCCACCGAGGTTCTATCTGCTCGGGCACCTGATGGATTTTGTGTCATGCGCCTCTCTGTTCTGGGGGTTGGCTCTCCACCAGATTCTCTGTACCACAGAGGATGGTAGGCGGCGGAAGCCAAGAGAATAGCCACCGGCCTTCCGGCTGCACACTTTCCTACACCTACTGTTGAGAGTAAGGAATGGGAAGGTGACTCGCTTGGGGATGACCAGGCAGGACATCGTGGCTCGCTGTCCAATGGTGGAAGCTGCCTCGGTTAATGTCCACACCGTAAATATGAGAACAAAAAACAACCTCTACAATGCACTGTATTGTAAAATGAATTTTCTAAACATAAGCCAAGAATTGCTTATCTCTGCTTGTTCTCTCCGCTCTGGAGAGAGGCCACTGTCCACAACATTAGTCTGCTATTCGTTTTGCATCTTGAGAAGTAATTAATGACCGTAGTGAGGTTTTTTTTACCAGAGATTGTACATCGTTGCCAAACACAAAGTATATAATGTTTATTTATTAATATAGACAAAACAAATGTACACGTGAACACGTGGGTCTGAGATTTTCTTTGTTTGCGGTGAAGGAGGAATGATAACTTACCCGCACACTTTCCCATATTTTTCCACCAGACTCTCAAGTCCCTCCAGGAATCCCTGGGGCAGAAAAGCTTACTAGGAACTTAGAAGTCATTACTAAAATGGAAATGACCATTAAATATAATTAATTTGCATCGTACACTTGTTTGCTTTTAGAGGTATGCACAGCTTGAATTTATTATTTTATCTAGATTAAGGTAAATTGCATGAATAAATATATTTTTTTAAAACCCACTGATGTAAACGATGAAGAAGTACAACACATACAACTTGCAGGATAAAAGCACACTCAACAGTAAGGGGATATTCAAAAATTGTATTAGCATGTTTTAATTAACATAAACATTTTTATCTGCAAAGTAGTGTTGTAAGCCAGAGTATGGTTTTCAGAAAAGGTCCATTTACTTTACAAGTTCATCTTGCAATGCAAGAGGAAATAGGGGAGAGTGTTGGCACAGCGGTAAGTGCACTGCACTATAACGGCAGTCAACCCAGTTCGATTATGAGTCACAAATGACATCAGTGATGTATGATATAAACCCGCACTTCTTCAACCTGCAGTGACCAACACGGTGAAGTATGGTCAAAAATTGCTCATGCCCAACATGGTACATTACATGGGGAGACTTTCATCAAGCAGTGGCTTGACAATGTGCTGCAAATTACTACCCAGTGTGATGATAAAGATAGCATGCTCAGGAAAGGTCATACGTTCCATATGTGCACTATTTTTTTTTTACGTGAGGATGCAATGGGGAAAGACTATCAACTGAAATCGTGGATAACTTAGCACCTGCTGGGTTGAAGAATGATGTACGTTATCCTGGTTGTGAAAAGGCTTTGTTTTTGTCAGGAGGTCCCATCTTTAAAATGGAACCATTTTCCACCACCAACGTGAGCTTGTTTTCCAGTGAAATATAAATATATATTTCAAAGGATTTTATTGCTTATCAAACCCGTGAAATATTGTCAGGAGTGGCCGATTACAGTACCTGAATAATTTATACGAGTGAAAAAGGCAAAATAACATGCATTTTTGATATGCAACAGCTGCAAAAAAAAATGAAGGGCTGATGTAATAAAAATGTGTTCTAGGAGTGAAATATCTGGTCGCGTTTACAGAACGCTGTAATCCCTGTGCATATTAAATTAAAGCATTTCTGTGTTTACCATTGTGTCACGCGTAATTACTGCCATTAATTGTCTGCGTGGTGATTAGTGTGACTTGCCTTCCGGAACCAAAACATGTTTCCGAGAAAAGGCATTGGGCGTGGATGAGGCACACCCAGCTCCTTCAGAAGCCCAAATGGATAGATGGAGTACCTACAAAACAAGACAAAGATCGCCCGCGGTAAAGCCTTCTGACTGACTGTTAGTGCAAGCAGTGTTAGCTAGCACCAATTGAGGCTATCACAAAACACGAGGAGGTGGGTGACGAGCAGCACCACGCCCAGCCGGCTTTGTCTACCCAACGTTTATGTTTACACACCGGGGCACCAGTTGCTGAAATGAGGCAGAGTCGAATTAGGGGAGACTCAGGACCGGTTAAAACGTTCATCACGGCACGACCGTGCCCCCACACAAAAACTACACGGGTACACACACACAAGACACACGCACGGTGAGATCCCAAACAGGAAGCAAGAAGCCATGATTGAATGAGTTTTGTATTTATTTTTACCAGGTATTTAAACCAGGTAAACTCGTTGAGACCAGACGTTTATTTCTCAAGAGAGACCTGGGTGGGAGGTACATACAGTGCATCACACAGAAACAAAAATAATTGTTCATGAAACAGAAAAACTGGTTTCTGAACGCAAAACAATTCAAGATGTTGGAATCGCACAGATGACAAATTATCTATAATCATATAAATGACAAGCTATAAAATTTTGAAGGCAAATCTTAACAGCAAAATTTCCATATTTAAAAATAGTTTTAGAATTTAACATGACAATTTGCATCTTAGGTTACGCCGATTTTCACAGTTATTAGATTGGCTATGCCTCGTGATAAACTATTTATAGACGTCTTGAATAGACTACCCAATGCAGACGTATTGTCACACGTGTAGCACGACGAAAGCAGTCCTGCCATCGAGATGTGGTGGCCACAAACGTGCGCATTCATATAAAAGCGTAAAGCGAAGTGGGATACGGGGTGCACGCCCCTTAAGACGTTTACACCACATCATCAAGAATTGGCATGAAAGTGCACACAAGTTGGTAAAGAGTCGTTTCAGTAAGTCAGATCTATGAAAGGTAAAAAAAAAACCTCTGCTTTATAGAACACTGCAAATTTCTGACTAGTAAATATATATTTTGAAACTTCCTGCATTTCTATACTGTAATGGTAACAGCCCAATATGTGAAATGCCAGTGAAGTTGTTGTGGTGATGCAGTGGTTAGCGTACGGTGCTGTGAAGCCGATGGCTTGAATGCAATTCCTTTGCCACGGCTATCATCAGGAGCAAGTGATATCTCTGGTCGTGCACACTCCACCCACCACCTTTCACCAATCCACGCGGAACGCCGTAGTGAGTTATGGTCAAACCAACCTGACGGCCAACACAGCAGAGGGTGGCCTTCATCCAGCAGTGGATTGACAAAGGGCGGTTGAATATTATCAATCATATCACAATTCTTTGTTCCATTGCTGAAAATGTGAACAATGATGACCTTGCATAACTGGTTTTTTTGCATCACCAAAGGGAAACCGAAGCATATTTGGAAGATGAATGATTGTCACTAAAGAAGGCTATTATTGCTGACGCCACAACTTTTTCTCTTGAAAAGGACACATTCCCGCTCCCTATATCTCACCAATTGATTTAGAGTTAACACCCTGCTGAATGTCTGGTGATATACAATACTGTACATACTGTTTAATTGCCAGCAAAATCAGGGAATAGAAGCATGTCAAACAACCGGCAGTGTGTGTGTTTAGGCATTGTTTGTGTTTGGCCATGTTTGTTTGTTGTAGTACGGAGTTAGAAAGATGGCTTTAATTTAAGTTGTCTTGTGGTTTTTGTTGTTGTTGTTTGACTTGCATCCCACTGGGATTTTTGCACAGCGTTGGTGTACGGTGCTTTTTTTTCTGGAAGACTTTGCAGTATTTTCCTGGATTTTTCTGTTTGTGCATAGTCACTTTAAGATGTTTTCTTGTTCATGTTTTTGTTTTTTGTATGTTGCGGTTGCACCCGATTCAAGAGCTGAATGGCTCACAGGGCTATACCAAATAAATGAAAACTGAAAAAAACTGAAACTCTATGAACACTATCCGGACAGCACTGAGATTTCATAAGGAAGGCTAACATTAAACGGTGATGATTGTGAATACAAATAAAGGAAAATAAATTTGGCAGGGAGTGGGGATGCAAAACTACTGACCAGACAACTTGCACAATTATCCCACGAGAGACTACGCGCATGACGTGATCGGGTTAAGTAAAAATGTTCACTTAAAATACAATTTTAATGTATTGGGCAGGGGTCAGCAACCTGCGGCTTCAGAGCCGCATGCGGCTCTTCAAGGACTGCTTCGTGATTAAGGACCACCATCTACTATTCACCACATGCATTGCGGCTCTTGAAATATTGAGGTTTTTTTTACCGAATTCGAAAAAAAAATGGCTCATGTTATTTTGTTTTTTCCAACCCCTGGTATAGAGCATCTAAATATTATCAAGTCTCAAGACACCGTAAAAGATAGTGTGATAAGTACATCATGGAGGAAGAAGAGGCACGTAGATATTATCTTAATGTTTATATCACTACTGTACAGTCACTCACAGAGAATGTCGAAAGCTTTGAGTTAAACTGACGGCTGGGGGGAGGAACTTGCGGAACACACGAACAGAGGAAAAAGTGGGACTGGTTTCGTCTCTCTGGGTCCCATCGGCAGAGCCAGGCTATTGGTGTGCAACCTCTAAGAAATATGAAAAAAATGTCAGTTCAAAACAACAGTCAAGGTAGATTAAGGCACCCCCCCCACCCCCGTGTGGCAACGGGAAGAGGAGGTGGGTCACACACACAAACAGGACACTGCACCAACAATGAATATCGTCTCCTTGCTGCAGCTTTATGAATGTTTGTACTCTGCGGTCAGGATCCCCTGGTTTATGACCTCAGGGTTGCTGCTGAGAGGGAGAGAGTGCGGAGGTGAGAGGCGGGCAGGCAGACCTGGCCATCTCCCCCACGGTGCCACCGGAGGCACTTGCTGGGGGCCGCCCTCTGTGCCTCAAGGTCATTGCGCCTCAGGGCAACGTGCTCACGTGACTTTGTCAATTATTCATCATCAGCAGCTATGATCAAATCCACTGCTGGATGAAAGCCATCTTTCGCAATCCTGCAAATGTAATGATCCACCAGGACCCGCACACTAGCTGATTTCAACACTCCATCTTCACGTTAGACGTCCTTTTGGAAGGTGTTTTAGATTCCTTGGCTGGCCCACTCATTATTCGTGGCCATCGGTCATCACAACCGTTAGCCATCACGTGCCCTGTCCAAGTTCACTCACAGTCCAGTACTTCCCACTTAAAGTACTTTTGTAAACACAATTACTCCATGGTCAATATGTGACCACTTTAATTTCCCCCTAGTTTATCAACAAAAATGTGACACGATGCTTGTCTACACAAAGCAAGTCGAATTTTTATTTAACTGAAGGTCGGCGGTCTGACTTTGTTTACAGGGAGATTCAATTGTCGAGACCCCAACCGTTTATAATTAATTATAGTACCTTGACTTAAGGCTTTCGTGACTGCAGGAATTCATATTCCTGGCTTTACCGAAAGACCCAAAGAATATTATAGTACCCTTTCAACACGTGAATACATACTGCATTGCGGTGTTGTGAACGCGATGGCTCCATATCCTACCGAGGAGAGTGTTGACATATTTAATAAGCGTACTGAGATTGGTGGGAGAAGCCTAGGTAGGGACTTTACATGTAAACGACAGCTCCATGCCCCCGCGGTTCCTGCCCCACTGTTTTAGTGGGGTGTCTGTAAATGGATCACGCGTGCGCAGCCCTTTAAACACGTGCGCTGCCCTTTAAACACGTGCAGGCGGTGACTCTCTTAAGCTCATTATGATGCCCGTAATGCGTTCCCCGCCGCCTCACGTCAGCCCCATTACACCCCAACACGCGCGCACTGTTCGTCATCAGCCACGGTCAATCCACTGCTGGATGAAGGCCTCCGCAGTGCCCCCCACACGGCAATGTCTCGCACGACTGCGATGTTAACCATCCTCCTGGCGCCTTCACACCCGAGCTGCTCTCTATCCATCGCCCCAGTGTGCGAGAGCACTTTGGCAACCCACTTGCTGGATAGAGGTCTCGAGCAGTATCAGCCACTTGAGGGGAGGGGGGTTAACCATACTTCACCATACTTCACCACACTGGTTCGATTGGTCAGTGACAAACTTAAGTAAAAGTTTGGCCGAGGCGGAGACCACTCTCGTCACGGACGTCGCGCCGCACGTAATGGCACTCGAATGCACGAAGAGGTCAGGGCGACCGTGCGTTTACCAGCACAGCAGCCCCAAGAGCAGAAGCAGCAGCCATCCCGTGGGGCCACCGATCCACCACCCTCCCTGGGCTGCCTCCTCCGCCGCCGCCGTGTCCATGTGTTCGGTAGGGCGAACAGGCGAGACCGAGGTCCCGGGTAGGAGCAGGCCGAGCCTCGCGAAGACCTTCACTCGCCCTGCTCCACGTTCCCCGCTGCAGTGTTGTGTCCGCCGATAACCTGAATGCGCCTGACGTCGTCTTTAACGCCGTCTAACTACAGAGGTGTTTCCTCTGCTGGGGTCGCCACCAGCCGTGCGTGCTGTGTGCAAAGTGTTTAGTAATCTCTCCCGGCTCGGTAGGTCGGTGGGGGCATGCGGGCATGTGGAGAGGTGTGCGCTAGCTCTGTATTGATGCAGCCGCAGAGCTTTGCCTGTCACTCTACGTGCTGTTGTTAATTAATAATAACATTGTACCTGCGTACCCGCACTCACTAACGCGGTGAAGTATGGTGAAATAACCCCCACAATCCGCAAGGGGCGAGGTGAGCGCCTCATACAGCAAAGTACACGGATCTGAGACAACCCGTTTTGAGAGATACTGACTCAATTACCTGCATACCGATAACCCTATCACCTATGTTTGATGTATGTTCACCTACCACCAAGGTGTAACTATCTGCCTACCTGCCAGTAATCTTTTTGCCTACGAATAAACTTTCTGCCTACCCGCATATAACGTTCGATTCCGTGTCTAGATACGTGGCAGTAACCACCGACAGATCATTACTTGCCTACCCTGCATACAATGCATGGTTTCATGCCTCTGCCTATGTTAAATAACCTTTCGGCATAGCTAACTTTACCTGATGTAAGTGTACCTGAATTTAATGTTGAATAGCTTGCGAATTACCTCTCAACAACCATCCCTACCGATGTGAACGCGTTTGTATACCGCTCTGTGACTTGCCAATTTATCTTCGTATAGCTGGAGTAGATATCTGCCTATTTGTCAGCCTGTTCACACCTGTCTGTCTGCCAGGCGTGGATATTAGGATTCATGGGCTGTAATCGCACGTGAAATGTGCTTGAGAAAGCGTGATGCTCATAAAATATAAGTACATGTTAATTTGTAACGCGTTTGGTAAGCACAGCAGCTGTTTTCGTAAATTCCATGCAGGCTAGGATTTGTTCTTTTGCGATTAATCATTTACGTTTATGATGCCCCAGGCAGGTCACTGTGACGGAAAGTTTTTTTTTTATGTCAATCAATACTCTGTACCTTCAGTGAATGTGATCATTCATGATAATTCCATCAACATTGCTAAACAACATCATGTTTATCAGCAAGTTTGGTGTGTACTCACACCAACATCATCAGACATGGCCAGTCCACTGCTGGATAATGTGTCCCCAATCTACCGCTGTCTCTGACGATCCTACGATGTAATAATGCACCCGAATACTTGCACACCGAACTGATTTCATCGCTCCGTCTCCACGGTGGATGAACTCTCAGATACCTTGTTTCTTGGCTGCCACTAAATATTTTTTCTTGACCATATGTCTGCCATCATTCCGTATGGTCACGTTTGTAATACATTTACAAACAACAATAGTCGTGTATTTCACTTGTCCTCAACACATGTCATCATCAGTCCACTGCTAAATGAAGGCCTCTCCACACCATCCGTAATACAAAGGTAACTGCTTAGCTCATGGTACATGACGTGAAAATCCGTATGTGCATTACATTTACATTGAATGAGATCTACACTAATTATGGTTAAAAGGTTGAGCGGTGGCGCAGTGGTTAGTGTATTTCATTTTGATCAGTTGGCCAGGTTCATCGAAACGTCGTGATATATTTTTTGTTTTATTTTATTTTTCTACCTACGTGACTTTACCGAAGGAACCAAAGAGTATGATTTTGATTCCTGGACGCAGTCTAACATCTATGGCGAATAATATCTGAACCAGTCCTATCCCCTCCCCCGTACAGACCAGCGTGATGAAGTATGGCCAAACAACCCCCATGATCCTACATCGCGTGAGGAGGCCCTTATTCAGTGGTGTATTGACAAAGGAGGGCCATATATTATTATTAGGCCCTATAATGATAGTTAAGGTGACTTTTATGTTCTTGCACCTATTGCTCAAACCAAGTAAGTGATATAAACGCACCCATTCCATTGTATCCCAGAGATAAGTGGCGGTTCTGTACGGGTCCACGCCTATAGGTGCCAACATGTATTATGTGTTCCTCGTGTGTGTTGTGCTGGGTCAGTCACCGGGCCATCAAACCGCGGGTCATTGCTGCATGTGCAATACTACTGCCATTGCTTGTTGTATTGAATATTTTGGTTAATTTGCAACCTCGTGAGATAAGGCGCATGTAATAAAATGTTATATATTACTAGCTGTACTACCCGGCTTCGCCCGGGACTTGTATCTACCACGGCCGGCCGCCTTTGTCTCCCCAGTGGCGATGTTAATACGCTACAGTAGTTAAGTTACTCGTTTGAGGCAGAGTCGACCTAGGGGAGGTTCAAATAATCGTCACCGGTGGTGGCCGTGAGCGGGAATCGAATAAACACATACACATGACCCGGCTTCGCCCGGGACTTGGATCCACCACGGCGGCAAAACCGACATACATACACACACAGACATACACACAAACACATACACACACATACATACACGCATGCATACAGACACACAGACATACACATAAACACATACACATGACCCGGCTTCGCCCGGGATTTGGATCTACCACGCCCAGCCACCTTTGTCTCCCAAGTGCCGATGTTAATACGCCACACCAGTTACTCGTTTGAGGCTGAGTGGACCTAGGGGAGGTTCAAATAATCGTGACCGGTGGTGGCCGTGAGCGGGAATGGAACTGGGTTCGCCGGGTTGGTAGCGCAGCGTAGCGTTAAGCACTACACCCACCGCTCCTCACACACCACACACGCACAGACACACACACAGACACACGCAGACACACACAGACAGACACAGACAGACACACACACACACAGACACACAGACAGCACGCTAAGCACTACACTACCGCTCCCCACACACCACACACGCACACACACAGACACACACACAGACAGACACAGACAGACACACACACACACAGACACAGACAGCACGCTAAGCACTACACTACCGTTCCCCCTACACAACACACGCGCGCGCGTCCATAGGTACACATACACGCGCTTGCTGCAGACACACACGACTTTCAGGGTGCGTAAGGCAGTAAACGACTGAAATAATAAAGCGGCAATGCTGTGCGAGGAACGCCTTAGACCAGCAACACATTTGTGTAATGCGAGCGTAAACACACAAACACATACAAACACATACACACACATACATAAACACACATACACACAAACACATACACACAGACATACACATACACACAAACACACACATACATGCACACAAACACATACACAATACACACACACATACATGCAGACACAGACAGACACATAACACACATACATACACACACATACACACACATACATAGACACACATACATAGACACACACATACATACACACAAACACATGCACACACGTACATACACACATACATAGAGACACGCAGACATACACATAAAGACATAAAAAAACCCACATACATACACATACACACAAACACATACATACACACACATACATACACACATACATAGAGACACACAGACATACACATAAACACAAACACACATACACATGACCCGGCTTCGCCCGGGACTTGGATCCACGATGCCCCGCCGCCTTTGTCTCCCCAGTGACGATGTTCACACACGACAGCAGTTACGCTTTTGAGGCTGAGTGGACCTAGGAGAGGGCCAGGTCCGTTTCAAATAATCGTCAGCAGTGGTGGGCGTGAGTTGGAATCGAACTGGGGTCGGTCAAGCAGCTTAATGACTGTTTGTACAAAGAACATATAAAGAATCGATTATAATAACCAGGCAAGAGTCCACATTATAGACTGCCAGTACACGCACTCAGCTTCATAAGCAGGCTAGAGTGTACATGATAGAGTGGCAGTACGCTCACCGAGCTTAATAAGCAGGCTACAGTGTACATGATAGACTGGCAGTACGCTCACCCAGCTTAATGAGTATTTGTACAGTGAACATTAAAGTAATCGATTGTTGGCGCGTTGGGTTTAAAAGTAATATTAATAGCACACATTGTGGTGGGGGTGTAGTGAAGAGTAGGAAAAACTTTGATGAATTTACCTCAGAGTGGCGTGGTGGGTGTCGAGGCCTAGTAGCGTGCAAAGCCTGCGGCCTCGCCTAAAATTGTCGGCTTGGAAGAGGCAGGGTACGGGTGGCGTTCCTTCCCCCCCCCCTAGCGCTCCAACAATACTGTGTAATGGATATTATTTAATTAAATACGGAGCTTATGAAAGTGGCGAAGGCGTGGCTAGCCGTTGGCAGGGGCAACCGCCGTCCAATGAAACTGCAGCCCTTGGCGAAGGCGTGGCTAGCCGTTGCCAGGTCCAATGAAAGCGGCGAAGGCGTGGCTAGCCGTTGCCAGGGGCAACCGCCGTCCAATGAAAGTGCGTATGGGCCAAAGTCCACACACACACAACAACAACAACAACAACCGCCATTCGCCACTAAGTGGCGGTGACGTCACCACGATGCTTGTGCCAGGCCAAGTGCACCTTGAGGCCACGTGAAGTGTCGAAAGCCCGCTGGCAGGAGGTCACGGGGCAGACCCAGGTGCCACTGGTCGACTGACCGAGATGACCGAGATGACTGGCTGATGCACCACCTGTGCCCCCTACTGTGCCAACTTGCTGTGCTTTAGCCACCCGGCGCTCCGCTCGTTGTTGTGAGCGTCGCTCCTCCGCCCTCCGTTGTTGTTGGAGGGCGACTGCCTCCAACTGCCCAGTAGCGTCCTTCACGAGCCTCCTCCACTGAGGCCGATCTTGACACCGCTGGTACCAGTCATCGGCAAGTCCACTCAGCTCCACGTCCTCCTGTACCACATCACTCCATCTCTTCTCCAGCCCGTGCCGCGCCCGTCTAGCCCCCTCGATCCGGCTGAACAAAAGCTGTTTAGGCATGCGGTGGCTGGACATGCGGGCTACATGACCCAGCCAACGCAGCCTTGCCTGCCGGAGGAGCTCACTGATGGGACTTTGCCCAGATCTTTCAAGGATTTGTGAGCTCCTCACACAATCCAGCCTGGTTAAACCCAGGATGGATCGTAGGCAGGCCAGCCTAAATGTTTCCAACCGGCGAAGATGCTCCACCAGGAGGGTCCACGTCTCGCAAGCGTAGAGAAGGGAGGGAATAACCGTGGCCGAGAAGACCTGAAGCTTCGTGCGGAGCGACAGACCAGGTAGCTTCCACACAGCGTTACGCAACCGATGAAAAGATATTGCCGCTCGACTGATTCGGAGTGAGACCTCTGCTGATAGACTGGAGCCGGTCATAAGCACACTGCCCAGGTATGGGAAACTCTCCACTCTCTCCACAACTGCCCCATCACCAATTGGGAGTTGTGGGGGTGGAGTGTCCGATGGTACAAAATACCCAGGCAGGTGCTTGGTTTTGGTGGGGCTGATGGTAAGGCCCCACCTCTTAGTGGCACGCTCCAGTCTCAGCAGCAGCGCCTCCAACTCCTCTTCTGAATGAGCAGCTATTACCAAATCATCGGCATACATAACGTGGTTGACCAATAGGGAGCCATCCCTTGATCGCACCCGGGCGTCGATCAGCCTCCCATTATATCTGTACCAAACGGAAATTCCCCCGGTACAGCTATTGAAGGCTTCACGAACTACGCGGTCAAAATAGATGTTAAATAATGTGGGAGCCAGAGGACATCCCTGTCGCACCCCAAGGTGTACAGGGAAAGGCTCCGACTCCCGGCCACGTAGTTTTACCCGGGCCCGCTCACCATCATGAAGGTCCTTAATGATCGTGAGCAGAGGGTCAGGGACTCCGAAAGCATGAAGAACAACCCAGAGTCCAGTCCTACTGATGGTATCATAGGCCTTGACCAGGTCAATAAAGCAGAGATGTA